CCGGGTAACATAGCTTGCCGGAGTTTCCCAGCACCACACGTCCAGCTGAGCAGATGTGAAATTTTCTTCCTTGCTTGTTCCTTTCAACCTCATCGACATCGAGTTCGGCATAACTCGCGCATCCTCACTCATTGTTCCCCTCATATTTTGCACCCACCCACCACTCCCTTTAATACGTGTTGTAATTGTTTTTCATTATCTTGTATATATAACATCATTAGCGCATTGCGAATAGATTAGATTTTGACATGCGTTACACCGTTATATATGCTGTCAAACTTCAAGCTTCATATTCAGAGCACGATCAAACTCGCGAGCAGTTTTTCCCACCCTCCCAGCGGCTCCACCTGCTCACGTCCCACCCCGAGCTAATACTCGGTCCAGCCCAACCTATGAGATCGTGTCACTGATTCTGGAGCCAGATGAAGCTGGAAGAGAAAAAAGTGAGTTATGCTAACATGCTATTTTGAAGCCATGATGATCAGCATACTTGTTGACATAGAAAAGGATGAATATGTCAAGAACATAGTGGTATTTAATCATCAAGGGGAGCATATTGGTACTGTAGACAGGAATAAGGTAAGCAGAATGAAAATAAAATAGTGTCCACAGTGGCCTGACTGCTGTTGCTTTCTACCATTGGATTTATTCATATGAAATGCTCGTGGGGCATCTTCAGGCAGAGAAGCATGGGCTAAAGATTGGTCAAAAATGAAAAGTGCCTGGTGGTTTGGATGTGCAGCCTCAAAGACACAGATTGCGTCTTTCATCTGTGTGAGCAATTGTGCAGTGTCCCACCAGGCATCAGAACCATTTGCATCAGGATAGATGATTTTTTGTGCTTCTTCAACAATTTCACCCTCTTTGTCATGCAGTGCCAATCAACCATCAACTGCATCAATGAATCCGCACACATGGATAATCCTTCCTCTTCCTTCTTCTGCAAAATCTATTGACCAGGTAATAAACTTATTTTTTCAGTGTTGTCAAATTATAAACTAATGCATGAACTTACTAAGCATGTGTTTTATAATTGTCTGCATGAAAGCAAGACTTGTCATATCAAACGGCGATCATCTCAATTTCTCCAGGTGCCAAGTTTGACTCCACTTGATGCAGCTCAGGGCCTTTATAATGTGCCATATGAGACTCAAAAGCAGCCATGGCAGGTAAAAACACCTCTGGATGAGAATTTTTCACATCCTCATGCTCATGGCCATCCATGTACACTACCTTCCATAACACTGTGCACTACCATCCCAATTTGATTAGCCATTGTCATGCTGTTCATTCACTGAGTTGCCGGAGACCAATGATGTTCAATGAGAGAATAATTGTGTTGTTAAGGGCATGTTGGAATTTGTGTGAAGTAATTTTGCCAATGGGCTGAGATGTTAGCCACTAACAACATGCCAATTGAAGCCTCTCATCTTTGAGGGGGCTTAGTGTGTTATTTCTTCCACTACGCTTCTTGATTGGAAGTTGTTTGAATACTTGGTGATGATGTGCAAGAGCTTATACTTTTTGTGCAAAGTATGCACCTTCTCCTTTATGCCACTGATGTGCAATCTTCAGGCTGGCCGCAATTTTGCCCATTCCTTTGAGGTGAAGTGTCGCAAAGTTTCAAATCAGCAATAGCTGGTTCATTTGAGACAATGGTAAAGTCTTCCCTTCCTTTGCAAGATCCTTTTTGATCCACTGCCTGCACGTCTTTGCGGCTTACTGAATGGCACTCAAAATGCATGATATATCATTGACTTTTGCAGAGTAATTAGTAATCTATTCTCTTTCACCAGAATTGGCATAGTGGGCAGTTTTCAACATTTTCAAGGTGTGAGTCCTCCAGCTGTAGCGATCACTGGATGCACATATCATCCCATTTGAAACACTGAGTATGAAGATCATTCCATTCATTGGTTTTTGTGCGATGAACATTAATGAGAATTCAAAGCTCAGCAATTTGGTGTCCATGCTAATATTGTGCAAGCTGTCACTCAAGATCTATGTGATGTTGATCCTTATGTCAATCACCTTCAGTACTTCCATCAATCCTCATGGCAACGACATCGCATCTTAGAGTTAAAAGACTTTTCCTCCAATGGTGATTTTGCAGTGGTCATGCATGTGTCTAATTCTACTGACATCAATCCACGTTCAGTCCTCATCCAACAGCATGGTCATCATGAGCCTGAATTTATCAACATACTCTCTCAACATTATGAACCACTACACTATGTGCTACTTTTTCCTCATGGTGATGTTGGTTGGGATATTAACTCATTGCCCAACTTCCCTAAACTATCCCAGATCAATTGGTATTGAAGCAGGTTACTCACTAATGATGACAAATGTTTCACACCATTTGGCAGGCTTACCTATGAATATTTGGTGGACATGTATTCTTGGACCAAAGAAGAACGACTTTCTTCATGAGAGGAAATTTCATGTGAATGAAGTACATGATGCTGCTCAGAATGATATAGATGAAGATCTGATAGACACTACAATCAAGTTGCCTGCAAGCTTCATAGGATCGCGCACTTGAACTTTGGAACAAACAGCTGATGTCATGGCTCTTGGGTGCAAATACAGAAAACCCACCTTCTTCTGCACCATGACTTTTGACCCAGGTTGGGGTGAGATATGTGAATGCTTGCGACCAGGTCAGTCAGCATCTGATATTCCTATCATTGTCACCAGAGTGTTCAAATCTCAATTGGAAAAAGTCTTGCATATTCTTCAATCATCTTTTGGAACAAAAAAGTACATGATTAAAGTGATAGAATTTCAGAAAAGAGGATTTCCTTATGCACACATCATATTTGAAGTAAGTTCATCCATACACTTAACGGCTGAGCACTCATTGACAGCTATAGGTCAAACCTGAACCACCTTTTGATGCTCTTGATGATATTGTCAGTGCTGAACTGCTATCTGACAACCCTTCTCTTCAAGCAAAAGTTGCAAAATACATGATGCACAGACAAGATCACTTAAGTCATTCAAGTAGTAGTTGTAATAAGGATGGAGAGTGCATATATGAATTTCTGCAACACTTCCAGCCTACTACCTCAGTTGATGATCATGTTCAACTGCACTGGCATTGAAGACATCCTGAAGACAGCTGGGTTATTCCATATTGTCCCACTTTACTCAATTTTGCTGATTGCCACTTTCATTTTGATGTCATTTATACTGCGAAGGTCTTCAGCTATCTGTACAAATATTTGTACAAAGGGCCTGACACTGCTTTCTTTTCAGTAGAAGATGGCAGGATAGCAGATGAACCCACACCAGTGAATGAAATTTCAGACTACCAAAAAGCACAATATCTCTCTGCTCCAGAAAGCAGTTGGTGAATTCTTGGGTTCAAAATCACACAGAAGGAGCCTGCAGTTGAAACTCTCGCTGTACATCTTCCCAGTCAGAATACACCACAGTTTAGATGAGATGGAGGCCGATGATCTTCAACATCTCAGCTGCATCGCTATTTTTTCTACTCAGATGAATTGTCACATCTCTGTTATGAGCAATACTTTAAGCAGTTTGTGCTCTATCCATATCATGAAAATGACACGCTCACTGATGCTTATGATCGTAGACAGACAGTGCATCACATGTTCGGGATACCAGTAACTGATGATGCCATTAATCTGCACTCCAAAATACAACCTTTTTCACAATGCGCTGATCTCATTTGTGAGACAGCAGCCGTCATCTGGGATGAGCTTCCCATGATGAACAAAGCTGTATGGGAGTCTATCAACAATCTATGTCAATTAATTTGCAATTGACCGCACACAGCTTTTGGAGGAAAGCTGTTCATCTCTCTAGGAGACTTTCGACAAGTAACAGTGGTGGTGAGCAGAGCAGGAGAATGTAATTCAAAAGTGGCATCAGTGAAATCTTTACCATTATGGCGGAAGATACAGATCCTGTCATTGCACACACCCATATGCACTGCAGATGATCTTGAGTTCACCATGTTTGTGGATGCCATTGGCAAAGATACCACTGGCAGTCGACAGAGCCTTCCACTGCTGAACAAGACAACAGATATCAACAATGCGCAAAGTTTTCTGTTCCCACCACACATACTTGCCGATGCTCACGCATGCCTTGACCATGCATTTCTCTCACCACAAAACATGTTTGTAGACAAATTCAATGACAGAATATTGGAGTCCATGCCTGGTGATTATCATGAGTGATGAATGGTAGTGTGCTAAATGAAAACTGAAAACAAACTAGATAGCTGTCTAAGCTCAGATATTTTGAAAGAAGCCAAGCATGCACCTATTGATGCTCCAGAGCAAACACCGGACTACCTAGTGATGCTGACTGTGCCCGGAATTCTACCGCATCAACTGGACCTCAAAATTGACTGCATATGTGCCATACAATGGAATCTGTCAGTGGAAAAAGGTTTAGTAAAGAATGTGCGTGTGCAAATAACCGTCCTACATTGTCAATTTGTCCAGGTCCAACTACTCAACAATCTGGAGAACCATTGTATTCCACGGATCACATTTTCTTTCCATCCTTATCAGTCTAGCTGGACTGTAAATCACAAGCAATTCCCATTGAGATTAGCTTATGTGACCACTTTCAACAGCTGCCAAGGACTGACACTGTCTCACACTGTTCTGGATCTCAGGACAGATCCTTTTGTACATGGTCAACTGTATACTGCTCTTTTGTGCGTGAAGAACTGTCATAATACACTGTGCTTATTTGGAGCAGGAAATGAAGACAGAGATACAGTGAGTATTGTGTATAAAAGTCTACTTTTGTAACAGTGTCCATAAATCACAATGACCAAAGGTCACCACTTGTATATGATAAGTGTGGGTGTGAAAAGTGAATGGGAATGAAATATATGTGAAGAATACACCACCAAGCTTGAATGAATCTGCACACTGTCAAAGGCATAGTGTACTTACCATTCTAGGAGTAAGAGCTAGTGGGATAGTATTTTGTGGTTCTCATCTGCATAGCAATTAAACTGACTGGGGCCTTTTGAGGTCTTTTGTGGATAGAAACTGGCATATATGCAAATCAGCATCAGATCACAGCATTGGTATGGAACATGACTGACGTCGTTTTCGATATATTCTTGCGCGGTGTCCATCTTAATTGAAAGGTCGTTCGGCATCCCCTGCTTAAACATGAGAAATGCACTGTGTAAATTCGCGGAGCTCACCATTCGCGAGGAGCTGATGGGACTATTGATATGTCTCCGAACTGCATGTAGCGAGAGTGACATGGGCTCGTTACAAGGAATGCGGCGGATACCCTTGCGTGCGTTGAGGGTTGCCAGTAGAGAATTGCAGTAAACTAAGAATGATCTCGTTGAGCTCGTGAACAGTATGATTTGGCTACAGTTTACTTACGACGACCCAAGCAGAAATAGAATGCGACGTAAATAAAGGTATTAGGCCACACTATAATCTGTACCACAACTGTGTCAGGAACGAAATGACGAGCCATTTGTGATGTTGTACATACAGAAATGAGGGACATGACCGCGCAAACACTGGTAAGTAGACCGGTGCTGACGCTGAACAGCATCAGCTTATTGATCATGGTATCGGAGCGACGTGAACCAGTGCGAGACCGTTCAAGGAATGTGCAGAGGAAGGCACTGATAAGGACATCTCCGGCAGCTGCTACAGCATTCATAGACATTGCCCATGGTTTGAGCTGGGGAACTTGAGTGAGGAACGTCAGATGGATACTAAAGAGGGGTGCATCAGCCGGACTACTACTTGATAATTCGCGATACAAATTACGCTTTTGAAAAATATACTTTGGGTGTCACATTAGTAGACAAATTTACGAAAAGCAAAAAAGCATACTAACTGATATCAAGGATAAATTCAGCGATGACGAGGGACAGCACTGATGCGGTTGCAAATATGTTCTTGTTGCTTACTGGCTGAAAGTAAGTAAGCATCCACTGGCGAGAGATCACACATACGTCGGTAGACACGTATGGTGAGGAAGCTAGAAGGACAACCAATGAGAATCGTTCTATTTGAAAGCTATCACACCAACCTTTGAACCACCAACGCCGTGAAGCCATTGAACACGACTTCAACCTGTGACGCAAGTGAAATTGGGAGGAAAATTGCACACTTGTCACACGCAACCCACAGCTAGACTCCACACAATTTTCTCGAGATCAGTAGCGTTATCAACGTCAATGATAAGGTACGTATACACTATCATGGAATATTTAGTTCACAGAAAAAGACATCTCGTATTCGGCACTCACCGGTGTGTGTAATGAGAGCTTGATGGGTTGAGTCTGATAGAAATATAGCGCCGACCTGTTTGATGTTAGATGATGATGCATGCGATCCTTTGTGAACGTACACAAAATTTGTTGTACCAAGGATCCGAGATATACCGGCTAAAGTAGTACCATGTCTGCATACAAGTAACTTTTTGTGATTATGAGCTCCTACAAACATAAAAAAAGCACAAAAACACACCTCCGTAGAGCCTGCAACGTCCAATTTCTAATGCATGCTCATTATTGATCAAAAAAGAGCACGCACGTGGCAGAGACTACAACCCCGATCAAGAACGCTCCAAAGCTGCGCGAGTTATACTAGGCGATGCATATGAAGATGAAGAATACGCACGTATTATCCACGGTACTCATGAGGGAGTTGAATCAGTTTGAATGAACGAACATTTGGGCTCTGATAACAGATACCAATCGTAACGCGAAGGTCGGACCGACCTAGATTCGTTCTCGGCGTGCCGTAACTAGCCGCGGAGCACGGATAAGCAATCTGGCAGGTGAATCACCACTATGATGCATGGAGGCAGCAATCGAGGTGGATACCGTGAACTATATCCAGGATGTTGGAAGAGGGAAATGAGAAAACAATCGTATGCAGAATCATTAACCTGAGGACCCGCGGAGACGTTAGACCTAGAGTTGTACAGAGGATTGCATACATACTGATTTGATTTGGATTTTACTCTGGAGCGTGGAGTTGATGCGCTCCATTCAAACCCCTTTCTCGTTCCACTTTGAGTTAGGCCCGCTTCACCTAGGCGCATTTATAATTATGCTTTCACACAGCGTCTCAGCGAACAAACTCCTCTCTACACCGACGCTTCGTCGACAGACAGGCGAAGTGTATTGCCTCCCTCGCATCACTTCCGTTAATCGCGCATGCCCGAGATAGACGGTCATCCGAAAACAATTTCCATTGCGGCCTGCATGTGCGACGATGTTCAATGGCTGCCAAAGACTCACCCTGCGATGTACTCGATCTTCGCACACAGTCAACTGAACTATCCAGAGTGCGGAATCGTTGCGACATTCACGTGTTATTGTCAAGCTCGAATAAAGAAAGAAAGACGGCTGAACCGACCGCAGGCGAGCGGATGGCTTGTAGGTCTTATTCCCCAGGTATGATCACCAAGGCTGGTTGGAACATGGTGTACCATCTGTTTAGAGTATGAGTTCTGGTACTACTATACATCTGATACACGTCCCAGAGGATGCTATGGTCTTCCCCACAGCTGTTGGAACCATCGCCCTCCCGGACAGAGCAGCAACCACATGATGTCGGGAACGATTCAACGTCATCCTCACGCCAGCATTAAACCAAGTGCAAGGTGTACAATCAGACGCGCTTACATCACACTAGCGAACAGGTGCATGAAGCAAGGTATACGGGCGAAAGAAGGGAGGGAGAAGTGGGGTTAGGTCGAAGTTGAGTTTGCATCCGATAGACACTTCGATGCCAAGGAAGAGAATTAAAGTCAAAGGGGGCCTGGTTGGTCGTGATGTGACAGCTTCTGTTGCTACAGAACTGTGCCTGTGTTTTGGATGTCAAATATCCCAAAAATTCTGCAAGTCGTGTCTGGACTCTGTAGGCGATGTAAAGTTCAACTTGAAGGAGTGCCAAGTCCCAGCCAAACAATGACATAAGCTACTGAATTGGGATCGCTAACTCCTGACCCTTACGGCGCGTACCACCGAAAGCCTCAGTGAGTGGAGTGGTCCGTCGGGCCATCGCTGGCATGCAGCAGTCCTAAACCTAGATATCAGCAGCCTGGATTCTCATTCCTTGAGTACGCCTTGTGTCTACTTAGTAACAGGGTACGTTTAATATCCGGATCTCTAGCCAATCCTGCTCAAGCCATTGTCCAACTCAAAAGTCATTTCCACCGTTGTACTTAACGATCAGGAACTGATCGATGATCACTCGGGATGCCAGTAATTCCTTTACGTTAAGTCACATGACCTGAACAGAGAGCGAGACGGGACGATCAGCCTAAAGCAGCGGGAATGAAACAAGTCAGTACTTGATTCAATTTAACTCCATACCTGGCTTGCCTCAACCCCAGAAACACCAGGGATTTGTGTTCAAAAGGAATGAAACACATAGATCACGAAAGCAATGTACCGTTTCGGGGTGGGGGATCGGATACATGCCGTATGCTTACAGCACCAGTCAGAGTGACACAGATGCGCTCACATGCGCACTGAGTTCAACATATTTGCTACAGTGGTTGAACCTTGAACCTGGAATGAAAGGTTGTTGTCACACTTCTATAGATTAGTTTGCTTACCGAGGGTCTGTGTCTCTTGACGCACGTCATCGAAACGTAAAACAAGGTGCAATTATCATTCTGCTTCCTTCTAATTGGTCCGTCTACGGGAGCCTATTCTGCCAGTGCAGCTGGTCTCTTCACATCATTCAATCGTGTCACAAGAAGATATTAAATTGATTGTCACCTCTCTGCCACATACATGGAACATGTAATGACACACCAAGCATAAGTACTTCAGACCAGCACGCCTGGTTTGTACCGACGTGTGACACCGAACTTCTCGGAGCATTTCAGAGAATGTGATGTAAATAAAGGTGTCAGGCTACACTATAATCTGGGTCAGGAACGAAATAACGAGCCATTTGACGTTTTACATACGGAGATCAGGGACATGACTGGTAAGTTGCATCAGTTTATTGATCAAGGTATCGGACCAATGAAAACCAGTGCGAGACCGTTAGAGATATGAGGATAGGAAGACAGAGATAACGATATCTCCGGAAGTTGCTACGGCATTCACAGACACTGACAATGGCTTGATCTGGGAACTCGGGTGAGGGTCATTAACTCGACACTAAAGAGAGGTGCATCAGCCGGACTACCACTTGATAATTTCCAATACAAATTACGCCTTTACAATCTATACTTTGGATATCACATTAGTAAACAAATTCACGAGAAGCAAAAACGCATACTCACTGACAACAAGGATAACTTCAGCGATGACGAGAGACAGCACTGACTCGGTTGCAATCACGTTCTTGTTGCTTACTGGCTGAAAGTAAGTAAGTACCCACTGGCGGGAGATCACACATGCGTCGGTAGACACGTGTGGTGAGGAAGCTAGAAGGATGACCAATGAGAATCGTTCTACTCGAAAGGCATCACACCATAAACGCTGTGAAGCCATTGAACAAAACTTCAACCTGTGGCGCAAATGAAAATTCAGATGAAAATTGTGCACTTATCACACGCAACCTACAGATAAACTCCGTACAAGTTTCTCGAGATCACTGATGTTGTCAAAGTCAGTGTATACACTACCACGCCGCAATATCCAGTTCACAGAAAAAGTCGTCTGGTATCCGGTACTCACCAGTGTGTAATCAGAGCTCGATGAACAGAGATATAGCGCTGACGTAGAGAACAGCGCATAGCAATCCTTCGTGAACCTACTCAAAGTTTGTAGTACCAAGAATTCGAGAAATATCGTCTAAAGTAGTACCTTGTCAGCATAAAAGTAAGTTTGTGTGATTGTTAGCTCCTACTAGCGCAAATGAAAACACGAAACACACCTCCATGAAGCCTACGACATCCAAGTTCCAAGGTATATACTAAGCGATGCATATATAGTCGAGAGATTACATACGTATTATCCATAGTACCCATGGGAGAGTCGTATCAGTGTGAATGAACGAGGATTTGGGCTTTGATAACATGTGGTACCAATCGTAAAGCGAAAGTCGGATTACTAGCACAATGCATCATCTGATGGACCTTGAAAGCTCGATCCCGCATCCGTTCTCAACGGTAACCAGCGACCTATGCTAACTCGCCGCTGGGCGCGAATTATCAATTATTATTGATCCGGCAGGCGAATCACCTGTGTAATAGATTCAGTATGTTTTCCATCACAGTTGCACTACTTAACCTTATTATACTTCTTTATAGCCTTAGATGATTGTCCTGGAGGCAACGATCGAGACGGACACGGTGAGTTATAGAGGATATGGTCTCAAGGCCGAGTTGGAGGAAGCATTCACTGGGGAAACGAGAAAATGGTATGCGGAGTTGAGGGCTAGGGCGCGGGTTGGGCGCGGGGTTAGATTACTATTATCGAATAAGCGCCGGTCACGAAAATATAGTCAAATGATTTTGAATGGTACCGGTCGAAGTATATGTATATGTACAAAGTACAAGAGTACATACCTAAACCAGAAACTCTTTTCATGTCTCACTAGTACTCCTCAGTCGGTTTTGTGTATGATTAGCAAGTGGACCACACCTAATTAGAACGTCTAAGACGATGGAAAACCCCCCTGTGGACATGCCGGTACTACCATACCGTACGTTTCAGAGTATGCTATGATCCTGCAGAATCATCGCCCTCCCACAATATTGAACAGTTTATCAACTTCTCCTGTGACAAACAAAGTGTGCAAATGCTGACCTAGTGGTGATGCAACGCCCTGGACAACCACGGCTATCACATGTCGTACGTGAAAACGATGGATTGAGATGCTGTCGAAAGGTAGCAGAGTACACCGTAGAGGGGGTTATTATAAAACCCTTCAAACATTTACCGAGTCAGAGCAGCAGTGGCGGCCCCAGCTGTATGGTGTCGAGAGCAATTCAACTTCGTCGTCGTTATGCCAGCATGACACCAAGGACGCGAGATAGACAAACCCGGCGCGCTTAGATCACACTAGCAAACAGGCGCGTGCAAAGTGAGGGTGAGTACTCCGCCGCCGTGAGCTTATCGTGTCGGTGTAAACTGTGCATAAGCACTCAGGCTATACAAAGTTCAAGTTCAAGTTAGTCATGATGTATGACAGTCGATAGGGTCCGTTACTTAAGTTAGGGCTGCTATTGGTACATCCGAGATTTCTGCGAGTCGAGATTCAACTTGAAGTTGTTGTGACTACTTACCTAAGGGATGTTCAATTCTAAAATGTCGTCGTCAATGTCGACTTGACCTTACGGCTGTCCTTACGTGGACCCTGAACCTTTCCTGATTTAGTCGTCAAACCTTGCGTCTACTGCACTCTACATCTTGTCAGTATCCTTCCTTGCAATTGCTGTTAGAGCCCAATTTAACTACTCAAAGCTTCTCATGTTTATTGCGAAATCTACTTTTCAGAGTATCCTCGTCCTAATCCTATTCCCAGTAAACCATTCTATGTAGTATTGCTCAATAATGTTTAAATCTTTCCCCAAATCAATGATTCAAAAGTATCATGAATAAATGTTTAGGAAAATTACTACTCCCACATGGGGATGTTCAGGTAGCTAACCTGGGCTCTATATAGCGAGGATTGGGACGAGGATACTCTGTGAAAAGGTGTAGAATGCCTCCAATGCGAAGGTTTAACCGACACGGTAGCGGCTAAATCAGGAAAGGTTCAGGGTCTGCGTAAGTAGTTTACGAGAGGACGGCCGTAAGGTTAAGTCGACATTGACAACGACATTTTAGAATTGAACATCCCTCTAGTAGTAGTATCAGGGTACATTTTGATGCTGTGTCGGTAGAGTTGAACTAAAATGTCATCTCCGAGTCCGCCGTTCGGGATGTCAGCATGAGTGGCGCGGATCATCTCTTTGAAGCCTTTATGGCATTAAGTCAAATGACTGAAGCAGAGAGCGAGACACGGGAGGACGTATCGGAGGGAGGATCAGGCTAAGGCAGCGGATGAACTCATAACAGGAATGGAACAAGTCAGTATGCCCCGGCTGCAGCCTGAAGAACTGAGAAACACACTTTGTGGTTAAACATACAAGGAGATTACGGAAGCAATGTACCTGCGCACGATCGAATTACGCTACTATACTTGACCAGGGATAGCAATTTGCTGGAACAAAGTTCTGAACCTTGAACCTGACGTAACTTACTCAGACTCTGTGCATCTTGACGCGCGTTATCGAAGAGTATCCCTTCTTATTAGTCTGGAGCCTATCCTGCCAGTGCAGCTTCAAGAAGATGATACTTTACATCGAACATGTTCTGAGCAAACCGGGTCCCTTGTGCCGATGTGTGACACCGCACCTCTCGGAGTATTTCAGATTAGATAAATTTACTGCTCAGGGAATACCGTCAGCGATTACTACTAGTATGAATCGTACCATATACCATAAGCGTGATGGAGAGAGTTGCCCTGTGGGCTATGTTGGAGGTTGACGTTGATGTGACAGATATAAGATGTAGAATTAAGAGACTTACCCGACAGTTCCCAAATTAACAGGGACTTGTGGACCCAGGCGGATGGTGCCGTACAAGGTAGCCTGAAAATTTTAGAATTTGAGCAGGTGGTCTGCTTAGTAATTAAGTTCTTACTGCGTCTAAGTCGACCCTGCCATTCAATTCAATTGGATTGCCTTGAACTCTCTTACTGTCAAATTTACATGGTCGTACATACATGAATATGACGACCAATTTAGCCATTTCACCGACGACCGCGTGAACCCTCATACATCCTGAACTCAAGCAAACCTGAGGCCCCGAATACTTATCCTTGCGAGTGCAATATTCCTTTATACTTACTACTATGCTTGTTGCAGACAACTCCAAACACAGATATTCTGTCATTGCGTAATTCAATCGCTGGACGTTAAAATATTCAGCGCGTTAGTGTACACCACTACTCACTCGGAGACGTTCCAGATTATGCCCCTGATCCAAAGTGACCCTACTTCGTGGTCATTCGATACTAATACGTATCTTATTTCCAACTATCTTATAGGTTTGTGGGGAATAATGTTTCTCGCTCTACTTTTTGACTGTGGTTTTGCAGTCGCAACGTCTGTTATTGTGGTCTATGACTGGGGTGAGCAAGATCTCTTATGGAAGTAGTTATTGATGCCAGGTATTCTCCAGTATTGACACTCGGCCGAGAGGTATGTCGATCCATTACCGAGCAGCCATCGTGATTTACGAACATGGTTTTGTAGTATGAACTGATCTGGGTAAGTGGTTTCATATAAGAACACGGTAATATAATTTGATAGCAATCTCGGTCAGACGCAACGCCATTCTGTCATGACTGTTCTACATCTCATCGTAAGTAATTTATGTGGATTCATAAACGCATCGGGCAACTCTTGCTGATTTCAAAAATATTCTAGGTGCGCTGCCTCGGATTACTATACTCTGTGTAGGTTTGCAAGACTATCAAGTCAGCACTGAATTAACAAACTATCTCACATTTAGCAGCAACGCGTTGTGTATGTCTCACAATGCATTGCATGCCTTTCTCCTGACTGGTGGTATTCAGTGAACCTCCCGGGAGTCTTCAAGACAGAAACGGTAATCATACCTTGCACCGATGTTTACCAACTAATTGCGCTTCTATGTAGGGGTGAGTGAGATCCCCAGCCAGCTTGTTTGTTCAATATATTGACTGAAACAGTTGTGAGTTTCTCGAGGCATTCAGTCGTGCAAGGCTCATCATGAAATCGTGCTTTTTCAGGCAATGCTATGAACCTCGTTCTACTCTGGATGATTTTTATCGTCAATACCATGCTGAGTGGTGAGCTTTCCAACTGTGGTACCTGAGTGATATCAGTTTGACTGACATATCATGCAAGTCATCATGATCACTCGGTTACATGCTATGTATCAGCGATCCAGAAAGGTGCTCATCTTTCTCATCGTAGCCCACATATCTATCATGATTCCCTGCGGAGTGATTGGTGGAATAGGAAGCATCTTTACTCCAACGAGTAAGTTTTATTCCTAATGAAAGACCTGAGCGCTTAAGGCTCATGTAACAAATGCCAGAGGTGATCCTGCTCGACGGCATTCAGTGCATTTACGAAGCCGACGAGGACGAACAACATCGGATGCTCGAGGTTTACATACTCGCCACTGTATGGCACGCACTCACACTGTGTCTTGCAATGTGGATTTTTGTGAAACACTTTCGTGAACGGCAACCAGTCTTAGGACATTCATTCATTGGGGATTGTCTCATGGTGTTAATGAAAACCCATGTACTGTATTTTGCATTGTGAGCTTTTTAATTTAAATGCAGTCTGTCTTTTTGCTGAATTTCCCCACGTGCTAGCTTTACTGCTGCATGTTGCTTGAACATTGGTTTACTATCTCCAGCGGTCTTGGTAGGTTGATCCATAGACGGCGTCTACAATAGAGCCCTCATCATCATTGCTGTAGGACGTGTCTCGTGTGGATGCTCAGATCTATCGGGGTATTCTTCAACTCGTGACGCTCTTCCAGATGTTTGTGGCAGGACCACGCCTCATCCTTTGTGTTCGAGAATATTATGCCGAGTTCCTGGCTAACTCTGAGGAAGGAGTTATTGACATGCCTATAATCGCTTTCTTAGAACGCTCACGAGTGCCAACTGGCAGTGAACTCTGGGAAATATCTCCAAATAATTAGCACCTGTCTAATACTCTGTACTTGATCGATACTATGTAAAATTTGTTTGTGAATAAGGTCTTTAAGTGGAATGAAGGCTGCGACTGTTGAATATCACGACGGCCCTGAGCTGAAGGCTTTAGATCTCGTTCTGAGTCGTTGAACAATAAATATCATGGGTCCTGCAATATTAATGATATTTTTGTTCCGTCTGGATGGTGAAGTCCAGACTGGAGTGGAAGATGCACTCATGAGGTAGCCATGTCACAGTTGCTACAAAAGTGACTTCAGCGCTTCAGCACAAGCCTTAACATTCATGTAACTTTGATTTACGAGAAAGTTTCACAACTAAAATTCAGGAAAATTTTGATGCCACGTAAGACGAAACTTGTGATGTGCGAGATGCCCAGAAAACAATTACATACGTGACTTGGGGTTCAGCTGACCGCGAGTCGTCGCACTTTGTGCGTGACGTAAAATTTAAATTGGTTTTGGGTGGATAAGCAGACTTCCTCCAACCCGTGAGATATAGTCACCAGACGGACTAGTCGACCTATATCTGACATGTCTTGACACGCCGATAGGGCGCGCGAATGTCAGCCCTGAACTTGGGGTTTGCTATTTTGCCGCAAGTCAATTTTAAACCAACTTAATCCACTCATTTACGGCCTGGACCTTACCGACACCGTATATAATTCTCGCTGGTCGCATGATTAGTCCGTTGCATACCCACCACTGAGATAGCCACTCGCGAACAAGCTTCCACTTGCAGTATGCCTTTGATTCCAACGTATCCCAGTTCCTGGTCACCCGATACGTACCGCATCTTCAACTATTTTGTGGGTTCGTAGAGATCAATGTTGATGCGCTTACTATTTCCCGCTCTAATTTTTGACTTTGGTTCCGCAGTTGCATCGTCCGCTACAGTGGTATACGACTGGGGTGAGCAAGATCTTCTCATCGAAGGAGTACTAATGTCATTATGATATTCTCCAGTGTTGACAATCGGTCGAGAGGTAAGTTGATCCTATTGCCAAGCAGTCATTAAGAATTTCACTAAATAGGTTTTAGTATGAATTGATCTGGGTGAGTAGTTTCATACAAGAGAAAAGCGGTATAGTCAATATTCGGGTCAGAGGCAGCGCCGTTCTCTCATGACTGCTCTATATATCATCGTGCGTAATCGCTGTCAACGCAGTGGGCAACTTGTGCTGATTTCAAGATATTCTAGGTGCGCTACTTTGGAGTATTATACTCTGTGTGGGTTCGCAAGGCTACCAAGTCGGCACTAAACTAATAAGCCATCTCTCACATTCAGCTGCAACATGTTGGGTATGTTTCACGATGCGCCGCGTTCGTTTCTTCTGACTGGTGGCATGCAGTGAATCTCCCGGGAGTCTTTACGACAGACATGGTGAGTGTTTTGCACAGATACCTATCAACTAATCACACTTCTACGTAGGGGTGAGTTTGACTAGCTTGTTGATGCTAAATGCTGACTGAAACAGTTGTAAGTTTTCCAAGGATTCAGTCTTGGGAGGCTTACGATTGACTTGGCTTTTTCAGGCTTTGCCATGGACCTCGTACTCTTGTGGACGATTTTGCCCGTAAATGTCATGTTGAGTGGTGAGCTACGGTACCTCAGCTATATCAGATCGCCTGACACGATATGCAAGTCATCATGATCTCTCGGCTATATGCCATGTATCAGCGATCGAGAAAGATACTCATCCTTCTCATTGCGAGCCTCATCTTTAGTACTGTTTTCTGCTCAGTAATTGCTGTCGCAGGAACCGGCCTTCTTTCGATAAGTAAGTTAATCAAAGACACTAGTGCATCAGGCTCATACAACGAATACCAGAGGTGATCCTCTACGGCACACAGTGCGTTTACGAAATCGATGAAACCCAACAAATTCGGATGCTCAAGGCTTATGCATTAGCTACTGCATGGGAGGTCCTCACACTGGGTCTTGCAATCTGGGCTGTTGTAAAACACCTGCGTGAACTGCGAAGGCAATCGCCAGGATGGAACATCATTGGTGATTGTTTCGCGGTGTTACTCAAGACTCATGTCCTCTACTTTGTATTGTGAGCCTGTTATTCCAATGAGGCTATCTTTTTCCGCTGAATTTCCACACGCGCTAGCTTCGCTGCTAGCTCTAGCCTCAATATTGGCTTAATGTCTCCACGTTTCTCTGTAAGCCAATCTGTGGCTAACATCTACATTTGAGGACTCATCATCATCAACTATAGGCCTCAACTTCTCTGGGAGCTCAGATTTATCGTGGTTATCTTGAATTTGCCACGCTCTTGCAGATGTTTGTGACAGGACCTCGCCTCATCCTTAGCATTCGGGAATATAATGCTGAGCTCACGTCAAGCTTTGAGGATGGCGATAGCATACATCCAATGGCTTTCCAGGAATACATACCAGAGTCGACTGACAGTGATATGTAGCACGAGATATCTCCAGTTGATTATGCATCACAGATACTCTGTACATACTACAGAACATGTACAATTGTAATATTGGTCGCGGTACTTCCATGAACACTCGTCTGGAGCGACTCTGTGCTGCAAATATTGCCTATGCTACAGCTCTGAACCTGCCAAGTTTTGAGATTTCGTGGCCATCTGGGTTTGGAGCTTATTACACCGTGACTGGAAGGATGATAGCAGGGTACTACTGCTTCACGGTATCACCTGGCATATTGGGTCCGTGTATTGCAATGACACAACTTACGAAGTACTGAGTCACATCCGAAGTGTTTGATCCGCATCATGTTACAGAAACTCCTACGTAGTACGCATCACTCGGTGTCGGATTTGTGGGTATGCGGGCATGTTGTAGCTGTTAGGGGACTTCCAAAATAGGTGACGGACAAACTCAAGTTGTGGACTGTACAGTTCATCAGCCACAGATCCGGCAACTGCCAGTAAACTTGCGTACTGTTCACTACGCCAAGCTCGCATCCGATACCGTCCTCAAGATCCTTCAAAATGAGGTGAGCAGGCTGCGAAAACAATATTATCAAAGGATTGAACTAACAAGAATTTTGCATTCATAGTCACCGTAAGGTTGGTCTTCTACCATGGAGAAATTGGCAAACTCGAGAGACTCATACTTTCTGATCTGTTCAGTACGAAGCCCCCCGCCATGGCTCGCTCGGTTTCCTCCCCCGTAAACGTGCCGCACGCCACCGCGGTAAGGTCAAGTCCTTCCCTAAGGTGCGCAAGTCTGATAATGCTCGTCCAAGACTGGTCTAACAGCGCACCTACTTTAGGATGACCCCAAGAAGCCCGTTCACTTGACCGCCATGATGGGTTACAAGGCTGGTATGACCCATGTTGTCCGTGACCTCGACCGTCCTGGTTCTAGTGCGTATTCTATTCAACTGCCAGATATCTTGGATCTAAAGAGAGTACAGAGATGCACAAACGTGAGGTCGTAGAGGCAGTTACAATCATAGAAACTCCTCCTATGATCGTTGTTGGTGTCGTTGGCTATGTCGAGACTCCCCGTGGCCTCCGCACTCTCACCACTGTCTGGGCATCCCATCTATCAGACGAAGTCAAACGTCGCTTCTACAAGAACTGGTACCGGTCGAAGAAGAAGGCTTTCACTCGCTATGCTAAGAAGCACGCAGAGGACGGCAAGATCACCGCTCGTGAGCTCGAGCGTATCCGCAAATACTGCACTGTTGTCCGTGTCCTCGCCCACACCCAGATTCGCAAGACCGGTCTCAGCCAGAAGAAGGCACACCTCATGGAGATCCAGGTTAACGGTGGCTCTATCGCAGACAAGGTCGAGTTCGCACAAGGCCTGTTTGAGAAGCCTGTGGAGGTGTCTAGTCTCTTCGAGCAGGATGAAGTGATTGATGTTATTGCTGTCACGAAGGGTCATGGTTTCGAGGGTGTTACTCACCGTTGGGGTACCAAGAAGCTTCCTCGCAAGACTCACAAGGGTCTCCGCAAGGTCGCTTGTATTGGTGCATGGCATCCTTCGAAAGTCATGTTCTCTGTCGCACGTGCTGGTCAAAGTAAGTCGCATTGCTTTATTTTTCTGGTGTCGCGGTATTGAGCAGTCATGCAGACGGCTACCACCACCGTACGGAGCTCAACAAGAAGATTTACCGTATCGGTTCTGGCGATAATGAGGGTAACGCTTCAACGGAGTCTGACATCACGAACAAGACGATCACGCCTATGGGTGGTTTCCCCCACTACGGTATTGTGAAGAACGACTTCTTGATGCTCAAGGGCTCGGTCCCTGGTACCAAGAAGCGTGTCATCACCCTCCGCAAGTCACTCATGGTCCACACCTCGCGTCGGGACCTCGAGAAGGTGCAGCTCAAGTTCATCGATACATCATCGAAGTTCGGCGTAAGTATAGTGTGCTATCTCTTCAAGGAATCATCTCACATCTTGAATTCAGCATGGAGCGTTCCAAACCTTCGAGGAAAAGGCCGCGTTCCTGGGAACGCTCAAGGCCAGGGATTGATTGCATTTTTGACGTACTACTTAGGCATTATGTTTTTTTACATTTTTTCACGACTATCCATGCTATGCTCTAGTACAGCCAAATCAATGTGTCTGCATGCATGACGATGAGTTCTGGAGTGGTCTGAGAGAGGTCAGGAGAAAGTATGTTCCCGAGTTCATCGTCATGTTCCATCATCATATATCACGGTAATGCAATCATTTTATTCACAAATTACTGTCACAACCCCAGTAGAATCATTCAGTCCTACTAATATCGAGAGCCATTTGAATTTCAATACAAATCTATCCTTCCATTCCACTGTTCCTATCAGATATTGATACAGCTGGTTACCAAGCGGCTGGTTTCCACTTCGTGTGCCAATCGTGTGCAATCAAAAAGTCTGTCAACCCGCTGTCGCTATAAGATATCGCACGTGTTGTCAATTGACTCGAGTATTCGCTAGTAGCACTTTTAAGCTTGCGCGCTTGTACGAGTTGCAAAAGATATAACAGAAGCTCCTGGGAAGGTGAATAATTAAGAAATTCCTACAAACGACATGTGAAAAAGGTATCAGTGCATGACGGTCAGGCTTTGCGCACATTAGGTTTATCTCTGATCTTGGCATCAAGTCTGGGCCCTGTCGTATAGGCTACCCCAGTGACTCTGCGCTAGCCGGTGATGCTTGTTCTCTACAGCGTTCCGGCGTGCAATGTCGGGGTCAAGGATAGCCTAGAGGTGTGGATCTGTAGCACAATAGCTAGAAAGTACAGGTGCGAATGATATTGTCGCCTGATTCTGGGCCTCCTACGGAGAGTTGAACGTCAAAGCAGCGTACATTCAAAAGGCGGAACTGACACATTCTCTGCATATCGCGGGAAAGTCAAAACGTAGAAGGTCAACATAGAGATACATATTTCTGATTTCTGTCTCCGCCTTCAGTCGTCTTCTTTCAGTGTTTGCATTCGCACTTGACTGTAGAAGACTTACAGCATATATATCCTCCATCTTTCTGGAAGCCATATTGTCTAGCCGGCCTGACCTTTATGCTAAGGGTACACTGGGTAATGAGCAACCGTACCCGAGAGCTGTGGTACAGCCTACCTTCTGTAAATGACCTAGTTCATTCCTGCTGCCAAGTTTACTCGGTGTCTTAGCCTGCATGAAGCCATCTGCTTCTTGACCTGCTCAGAGCAACAAGCGATGTTTTACCCGGCGGAGTGTCTTGACGCGGTGACCGTATGAGCAGCCTTGCAGTGCAATATAATTGTACCTAACGAACCATTTCTGTTCAGAAATCTGAAACCATGAGCCACAGACGGACATCGCTATGGATTGAGCCTGTGTCCAGAGAATTTACTAGCAGGGTAAGAACATACAAAAATTAAGCACCGTAAAATCCAAGTTCAGGGCTGTCAATTATGCCCTCAAAACTGAGGATTATGTCTCATCGACAGTGGACACGATTAAATAGATGGAATGAAGCATCGTTGAATTGAATTCAGTGCAGAAAGATGTCGTGCAGTAGTAGCTTCAGATTTAGCGCCCAGACTCCGAAATTTTCGAGTTATGTGCTGTTTTTGGCACTTGCAAGTTGCAACTTCATTCGAGCGCGTCAATTAGTATTTGTTACCAGGGTTCCACCTGGTTCTTCCAGCATCTTCATTCAGTGCCAGTCGCGGTATGTACGCGACATGAATTACGGAGTAATGCTCATCATTATCACAGGATGACTGCACTGGATATTCATGCTTGCAGGCTCCACGTCGAGCATCAAATTGTCGCCTGCATCATCGCAAGTATCATGTTGGCTTCGTCAAGCTCAACAACTTTTCGCTCGGCGACAGGCAACGTCTCTCACTTTCCAGGTCCATCGTCGTATCCATGTTGCTCGCATGATGAAGGAAAGAGCTCAAGGAGAGATGAACTGCGCTGGGAGCGAGCGCGATGCAGACGACGCTCTGGTCAGGCATGCAACATTGACAGATCACTCGGACGCGACTGTACAACAGACAGGCGTTTTAAAATTATCTGGACAACATGGTTCGATGCCCCCCGCTCCGTCGCCCACAAACGAGTCTCCAGACATCGAAGCTATCCACATTCACGCTGGCATCCGTTCAACTTACGGGCGACAAAACCCACATCATCATCACCCCAATCCTCACCACACTGGTTATCAAAATCTCATAGATTCGCTCGAAGAAACACCACCAGACCGACTGGAGACACGGCAAGAATTATTGGACAGCTTATTGAAAGCAACCTCGGTGACGGATGGGTGGGAGGCATACCATACCTTGACAGTCATGTTCCCCCATCATATTCACCACGCGTCCGGAGTTCCCAAGATACCTCAGCGTCATCTCCATCATCTTGCCCGCCTTCTTGCCTCCACAAAACCTCGAACACGAACCCTTTTCTTACGACTTTCTGCTGTTTTGACGATGCTACATCGGTCTGGGTACCCCATACACCTATGGGAGTGGAATGCCTTGCTACATTGTGCAGGAAGGCGATGGCGGAAATGCAGCCTCCAAGATTACAAGGAAGCTGTGGAAATCTTCAGTAGAATGACTGCACCACGGCCCTCTGACGACTCAAGCGACGACGAGAATCTGGCCCCACAGCCCGTTTTGGGCCATGTAGAGCCCGATATCATTACATACACAACCCTACTTTACATTGCTGGCCGCTCGCTTGACCCCAGTGCCATCCGCCACGCATCTAATCTGCTCCGAGCCTCAGGGCTACCACCAAACCGCATCACCCATCTATCATTGCTACGCTATTATACACGAACAAAACAATTGTCCGGTGTTCGATCAACTCTGCAGAAGATGAGAGAACAAGGCTTCGAGCCTGGTCTGGATGGCATCAACGCATGTATATGGGCCTATGGCTGGAATGGGCATATGGATGTCGCTTCAACAATTTATCGCGTGCTACGCCACAATCTGCAACCGGAGCTCAATGTAGGCGATTATGATATCGAGGCAGCTATCAAGTACCTGCTAGATGTGGAGGGCATCGCTATTCGGGGCAATATAATACCCGACGAGATCACATATACCTCCTTGATTCAAGCCTTTGCCTATCATGGACAAATTATGAAGGCGCTCCATGTATTTGTGGACATGCTCTCTACACCTAATAGGGAACCGAAGGCTCTTCTCAGTCAGCAGACAGGTGAACATTCCCTCTATCAGCCAACCCTTGCTGCTTTCCGGGGAATATTCCTCGGTTTCGCGCGGCATGCGCAGAAACCGCTTCTCCTGCGGACCGCTCCCGGATCGTTATCTGAACGTCTCCGCCCTATCCAGAAAAATGATTGGAACCTCGAGAATCTCCATCAAGTGTTCAAGGCTTTTATAAATTTACCCGCAGATGTCATGCCGAGTGAGAGACTGATCTACTGGATATTGGTATCTTTCGCCAAAGTCACCGGTAATGATGCGGGAAAGCTGCGAAAGGTGTTTTTACAACTTGAACAGCGCTTTGGTGGCGGATGGGGTGGTCGGTTGGACAGGCTGCGGGAAAGCATATTTGGCAACAACGGGAGTGGTGGGCGATAGTTGTCAATTCATTCACGTACAGGGCACATGCACCCATCTAACCTAATATCTGTACAAGCTGCGGAAATTTGATGGTGATACATTACAATGGTCGTTTGGGTCATGGAATTTGATCATGAAATGTCGTCATCGCCGTTCTCCCTCCTCCACTGGACGAACTCCTCCCAGGCAACCGCACATTTCCTGCTCTGGTATCGTCGAAGTTTCACGGTTCTGAACGTCTCTTCCGTGATAGCGCCGCTCCATCCTGCCTTACGCATAGCGCTTTCCACAGCCTCAACCTTATCCCAACCTTGGTCAGGTATGACATCTGGGAGATATGTCGCAGTCAGAGTGTCCCTGGAACCGAATCGCGGTAGATATGCTGAGGAAGATAAAGGAGAAGGAGTGGTCGAAGATGGTGGGTATAATGATGGATTCGGGAAGCTAATGTAGATCCCGTGAGTGCCAACAGTCCAATCTAGATATGACGATGCGTCTTCGAAATCGGTCAAAAGGGATATCCTGGGGCGCCGCGACTGAATGCATCAGCATATATATTAGAAGCGGGATGCACTCACCCGCATTCGAGAGACGGAAGCTCTCGACGTTCTATTTTCCGAAAACGAGAGTCTTTGAATGCACTGATCAATGCGTATTCTGCAAGACCTTCCCTAAGTGGCAAGGCATCGAAACTGCCGATGCAACCTCTCAGTCTGGGTGGTCGATCTGCGCGAGATGATCTGGTATTCCACGTCACAAATAATGGACTAGAGAATCACAACTATAGCACATATTCAGATTGGAACATACGGTCTACTTACTATTTCTCATCGGCAAAATTGGGTGAAATGGGCTTGCTAGATGTTAGCGCGCAGTACAATGCATCGAAAGCACGAAAACAGTGCTCTGGCGTGCAGACATTGTCGACCTTGTCTACTTGTTCTCCTTCCATCAGCTTAGAAGAAAGGAGGGACATGGTGGTCGAGGAATTAAAGGGATATCTACTAGGATCCTACCTGCCTTTTTTGGTGTTCTCAACACTACAGCTTGGAATAGGATTGGAAAGCTTCCAAGATTGCCGAATGAGTTGACTATAGACACATGCACAAATTGTATCTACTTAAGGTAGTAGTATATGGTATGAGGAGATAAGGAAGTGAATAATAGTATTGCAAACAGTGGTCCCGAGGCTCGATGGTATGAGTGAACCCATAGGAATCATAGAAAGTGGCATAAAGAACATAGCATCCTGTAAAGACGAAAAGAAAACAAGAGAACTTGAATATCAGGTTGATGTGACGGGAGAACATGTTGGACAACGAGTCGTGAGAATGTGTGCCGGACCGGTAAGATGCAGATGAATAGAAGGACAGCAGATAGCTGAGAAGTATTGACACCTGGCAGGACAAGATCACATAGAGCAACAGTTCCAACCTCCTGGAGTGGAACGAGCCTTCTCTCGTGCCTCCTCTTCTTCGGCCTGAGCGGCCCACGTCGGCGCGCTAATAGTCGATAGGAAGACACTATCACGTTTCCTGAGTTCATTTTCGCGCTCAATGATATCCTTCCGCTCGATGATTGCAGTAATCAATGATTCGAAGAGGTTCTCGATGCCTGTATTCAAATAGGTGAACGAGAGAATCAAATTGGGGATCGAGCACGCGTACCAAAGTCATCTTTAGCTGAAACCTCGAAAAGTTCCATACCCTTGTGAAGTCCCCATTCTTGGTCATCGACATCAAGATCTTCCTCATCTTCATTTATACTATTGCTGCTGCTATCTGCAGCGTCATACCCTCCTGCACGTAGCCCAAAGTGTGAACCAAATCGCGATTGTAGTGAACGAGAAGCCTCTGTTTTTGACCTGTTCAAGGCCGGGGCCGTCGTCTTTACTCTCGGAAGGCCAGCACCAGTGTTGCATCGCTTGAGCACAGATGATTGCGATGAATGGCTAACCGCGGGATCCAAGTAGGACGCGCTGTGTGGCGGAGAAGACCTCATTGAGGGGTTGTTTAGAGGAACTGATCTGATGCTAGTGAAGGATGTGAATCTAGGGCGAATGTAAGATAGCGTCGACAATGGCGGGGGAGGAGGCGGAGGGGGCGTTGGGGGGCGCGGTGGGGGAAACCAAGTATGTAGTGATAGGCGGGCTAGATCAGATGTGACTTGTCTGTGGTGATGTAGGTCGGCTTTGGAACCAACGATATAAATGATAAGCTCTGGCGGACAATTTTTCTTCAGCTCTGAAATGAGTAGTAACGGTGTCAGAAAAGAATCGCCAAAGTGAAATGTAGTGCTACGCACCAGCTAACCATCCCCGAATGTCCTCGAACGTAGCGGCATTCGTGATATCATACAAGAGAAGTGCAGCATTTGCTCCGCGATAATACATGGGGGCCTGATTACGCTGGTAAAGCAGCTGAGGGGTCACAAATAAAAGTGAATTCATACCATACTTCGAAATCGTTCCTGTCCTGCAGTATCCCATAGTTGTAGTCGAACCTTCAAACCATCGATATGAACTTTCTTGGTTACGAAGAAAGCCCCGGTCGTGGATGTCATGTTCCTAGGATCGAACTTGTTCTGAGTGTAGCGATGGAGCAGGCTGGTCTTGCCCACACCTTTATTAAATGAAAGCATGTCAGTCCTTAATGTTCGATTGGTATCCGAACAAACGAACCTGTATTGCCCATGACCACAATTTTGGCATCTATCCCATGTTCATACCTGGACTTTGAGTACGGGTCCATGCGTGGATATTCCGCAATGCAGAACAGTGGGAAAAGGAAGGAGTGCCACGGAGGGCGGGAGGAAGAGAGAAGGAAACGGGAAAATGGCTAGCGACGGAAGCAGGGAAGACAATGAAATGAATCAAGTCAAAAACACTAGCAGACGCGATACAAAAACCACGTGCCGAAATCACGCCGAATTTGCTGTAGCTACCAGCGCTCACAAGAGCTCTTTCATATAATAATCCGGTTATGACTTTGAACGAAATTTGCAAGCCGAACTAACACTGCCTGTTCTCTTTAGCAGGCACATATACAGCGCCCAGCATTCTGCGGCAGCGCTTTGACATTAATATTATGTTTATCACAGCACATCACGCAAACAAGACATAAGCAGTATGTCCTTATTTTAATCGGAGAATGCAAGGAACCGGAACATGTGTCATGATATCGCGTAATCTACTCTTGGTTTGCAGGGGGAAACTCGAACGTAACGTCCTTGCCCGTCAAACGGCGGTATACCGAAGAGAACGAATCAAGCTTGTACTCGAGCGATGTTGCATCTTTCGGGTCAAGGATGCTGCAATATTGTTCAATATCGCTTCACATTAATCCAGCACGCCACTTACACTTTCAAAAGTTTTGATCCGTCAACAGATACCCGAGTCCTCTTGCCAACAATCTCAGTCGGGAAGACAAGGTCCTCGAGAATCTTTTCGTGGACGTCCGTGAGTGTACGAGAGCGGGGTCTCTTTTGCTTCACCCGCGAGTTACGGGTAGGCTTGCTCAGCATCCGGCGCTGAGCGACGAAAACGACGTGGCGGTCAGAGAATTTCTTCTCCAGCTCACGCGTGAGTCTGCGGGGTCCGGGAGACCGATTACAATGGTACCTTCCCACTGAGATAACCATCCTCACCTCTGCTGCACCTTGTGGAACGCCTTTAGTTGGGGAATGGGAACGAACACAACAATAGCCTTCTTTCCACCTCGTACATCAACTTCACGTGCGGCAGAAATTTGCAGAGCGCGGAGCTCAGTCTTGAGTTCAGGGACATTGTTCTCGAGGTCGATTAGGGCCTGAGCGACGGAAACCTCAGTTTCATCAGGGGAGGTAGTGGGTGCATTTGCAGTACGGAGGATCTTGTGGTTGACTGACATGGCTAGAATAGAGGCCCTGTAGTAGGTGATCCTATGGTCAGCATCCACTCCTCATAACTTGCATCCACCCAATCAAAGTGATTCAACCGCGATTTTTGCTCCGCAGCTCGATATGTTCATCCATCCTGAACAGTTGGACGCCATAATAAGCAGCAATTCGTACTCACCGAGCTTGACGCCTTCGTCGATGTCTTTTTTGCGATGAGTCTTACCGTATGGTGTCTGGCTATCGTGCCAAACAGTGACCAACACGTTCATTGTGCACGTGCTTCTCAAATTGGAAACACCCCTGTTCAATTACACTCGTGTCTAGCTGACTCGTGTCCGCTTGAATTCATCTACCCAATTCTGCTCTACCTCTCCCTTTGGAACAATAACGAACGTCAAACACCCATCTTTCAACTCCAATCCGTCGTCAGGTTCCCCTTCTTTCGCCTTCGCGACGTTGTACACGTCCCTCAATGACATCTTCTTGCCAACTTTGAGTAGCCGCTTCCTTTTTGTTATCGCGTATACCACGAGGGTGTTTGCAACGTACTGCCCAGCTTTATCCCAGCTCGGTGAAGGCGCCTGGGGCGGAAACATTTGAAAAATATGAGTCGAAAAGGTGGTATCTTCGACAAAATGTGCTATGACGTCTGATGTCGCATATTGTGGGTACAAGAAGAACACGGGGACTATCAATGTCGTTCCTTCAGGGTCATCTGGGTCAAAATGAGGCTCGTATGGGTTCTCTGATGACCCTTTCGGGTTGTATACGGGAAACAAATTGCGTTCCTGAAGCATGATGAGACGACCGGTGACGAGACTGAGATAGAATGTACCTTGAACGCCACCTGCAAGAGTTTCTTCTCCCTTTGCTTGTTATGTATTCGTTCCTGTTTTTCACACTCTTTGCGGAGCTTCTCTGCCTTGGCCTTTGCGGAACTATCGCGGACTGACCTAACTCCTTGGTTTTCTGGGTCGTACTCCAGACATCTCTCGCAACAATCGAGGGACTCTTCGTATCGCCCTAGCGCGGATAATGCCATAGCAGAGCGGTAATAGGCTTTCGAAGACTTTGCATTCAGGATAAGTGCCTTCGAGCAGTCTCTAAGCACGGAACCATAGTTCTCTTCGATTTGGTCAGATCCTCGTTATCGAGCCAGTAGCCTAATTTCTCACTTAGTTCGAGATTACATGCGGCACGATTGCATAACAGAGCTTCGTGCAATACATTATCAGATGGCTCGGCATCAATTCCCTGCGTGTAGAAGCTGATGGCTTCTCGATAGCGTTTTCCTTTGAAGTAGTCGTTTCCTTGCCTCTTTGAAATTTTGAGCGATCTCTTGAAGAAGCCGTTGATTCGTGAGGTATTACAGTAGAGAAGGAAAGGCCCTCACCCACCATCTGGGGTTCCGTCGAAGGCGAGGCTTTGTAAGGCTTGAATCACAGGGTCACTAGATTCTTCTGAAGGAAGAGATTTCATAAAGAGTGGAGTGCTTTGCCAGAGCAGCGATCTTCTCCTCGAGAGAGGACTCCTCCGCCGGCTGTGGAAATACAGCAGCCATTTTCCAGAGCGTAGTGCAAGAAGACTTGGTACTGAGCAAAAGTGTTGAGTGACAAATAAAGAGATGATAAGATCACTTGAAACTAATCCAAGATCTAACCGAGCACCACCTGACCAAAAATCAGTTTAAGGCGCCGCATGCGCTTTGGGCCTTCATGGCAGCGAGCAACGTACGAGGGCTGGTAGCTGCGCTAAACTCAACAGGATGCTTCAAGTACAAGGTAAACTACCGAACTCAAGCTCTGAGGAGGCTCTCACATCATCTTCGTCCAGAGTCCAGATGCAGTGGTAGATTTCCTGGTCGTAGGCGGAGGTCCGTCTCGCCGCAACTCCCGCTCAATCTTCGTAGCGTGCTGACGTTTATCTACGGCCAGGTGTTGTAGGCTTGGCTGTCGCCCAGCGGCTCTCCGAACGTTTCCCGACGAAATCAACATACCTGGTCGAGAGACATCCACGTGCTGGTGAAGAGACCAGGCGAGCAATATAGGTACTATCTTATGCGCTTCACGCTAACTGCGAGTGGATAGCTCTCGCAACTCAGAAGTCGTACACGCTGGTGAGCTCACCTTGAAACGTGAAATTGTGTCCGCGTGTCCTGATGCGGTGGCTCTTCAGGACTTTACTATCCTCCACAATCACTCAAGACCCAGCTATGTTTGCGAGGCAGGCATCTCATGTACGACCGATGCGACAAATACAACATTCCGTACCGAAAAACTGGCAAACTCGTAGTAGCGCACGAGCACCAGCGTGCGTACGTCGAGGGCCTCTTTGCAAAGGCCAGACAACTACCATGGCCCAAGCACTCGCCACCTCATCGAGCTGAAGACCAAGTGCTTCCTGTCTCGCTTATAAGCGGTGCGCAAGCACGAGAGCTTGAACCAGACCTCTCACCAGACATTACTGCTGCGTTATGGAGTCCAGAGACAGGCATTGTCGACTCTCACTCTTTCATGGAGAGTCTGCAGAAGGATATATTAGAATCAGAAGGAGGCGAATTGGTATTTTCTACTCGGGTCGTTCGTGTGGACCCGTACAAGAATGAAGAGGCCTCCGGGCTTAGCTCAGAGGAGGGCTGGGTGGTTCAGACTGTCACCGATAATGCCGAACAAGGAGATTCCCTACTCGCTCGAACGTTAATTAACGCCTCTGGCCTTTCCGCCAATCTCATTCCAAATTCCCTGCTGCCCGAGTCATCGCGTATACCCATGTTCTTCGGTCGGGGCTCATACGCGGCTTACAGTGGTCCAGGCATATCTCAAGTTAATCGGCTCATATACCCGTGCCCTGAAACCGGGCCTAACAAGCACGCTTTCCAATCGCTCGGAACGCATCTGACTCTTGACCTACAAGGCAAATTGCGCTTTGGGCCAGACCTGGAGTGGATATCACCGCCCTGTCAAGCTGATGCATTAGAATACGATTTTAATGAGGGAAACGCGGATTTTTGGCGGAAGCACCTAAAACCGAGCGATTCCAGGCTGGAAGAGATGTACAGAGCGGTAACTCAATATCTACCAGGGGTATCATTTGAAGGATTCAGACCTGACTACGTCGGAATCCGTCCCAAGTTGGTGTTGTCTGGATTCCAAGATTTTACTATTCGGAAGGACTATGCTGATGGAAGCAGGAGAGGACTGATGGTCAGCTTGATGGGTATTGAGAGCCCTGGCCTGACCTCCAGCCTTGCTATTGCTGAACACGTCGTAAATGATGTCATTGAGCTAGAGCATTTTCATATCTCACAATAGGACGTGGTATATATAGAACGACTTGGCTCCGTACAATTGACCTAGGGATGTGCCTCGCCCCGTGTTATGACTTTCGGCTCCCAAGCATTGATCTTGGGCTTCACCGTGTTATACGGCCGATATGCGCCTCTTGTACCCGTCAGGGTCTCTGACCAGGGCTGTTCTAAAATTAGACTTGAAATGAACGAAGTGCGCACGATAACTACATACCGCTTTCCATGGCGGAGTCATGCTCTGCAAGACAGCATCCTCCGTAGGTGGTTGTAACCGGATGTGCGATAGCCACGAATGCCACTCAGGCGGGACTTGGGTAGCGTTGTTGTAATGCTAGATGCAGCACACGGTTATACCCGCGTCTCATCCACTTGAAGACGAACGAGAACATACCTGAGCAAAATCAACCCATCTATGACGCCCTATAAAAAAACCCACAAATTAAATATCACATAGAAGTACAGGAACGTACTACGTACCTGGAATTTCATCGTCCGGGTTCAGGTTTTCAAAGTACTTGTTACCGAACCTATTCGAGAGGTCAGACTCTGCGAGGAATGTCGGGTAACCACCTACTGGTCGGTTCCGATGAGCGTTCCAGCTTTTGCATCTCCAATGTACTGCAATTGGTGCCACCATTGTTTGATTCCTGTTCTGCGGATGTTCCGCACATAACGAATGAAGGACATGTCAGGATGAGAAGGTATGTTTGGTCGTGCTTGGTTCTAAGCGTTTCCCATACAGGTTACGTAAGGATAAATGAACTTCTCGGCGATGACTCGGGCATTAACATCTCCAATAGGCGTGATATTATGTATACATGGTACCAGTTGCGGGTGATTAATAGGATCATAGGGTGTACACCAGTATACATAAGAGAAACAGCTTACTTCTAACAACAAACTACAGAATCCTACAGAATACATTCGCCGACACAGATAGAAAAGAAATCAGAGATGAAGATATAAAAAGAAAAAGAAGAAGACGAATACAATAAAAAGTCTAAAATATAAGTAATTTGATACTTCCACAACAAATAACATGGAAAAAATAGCACAACGGTCCGTCCGTCGTTACTGTTATTCAGCATACAAAACATGTTTCTTCGTGCTATCCAACCATTCTCGCAAATCCCTGTCGTCGTCAATGCCGACGAATTCGTTGCTGAAACTATGGCGGTATCGAAGATTGAGGACGTTGCCGCCTAATCGCGCTTGTACCTTCTCCAGGAGTTCAGCGTGCGTCACGCGAGGATGTACGCGAATGGCGATCAGGTCATCAGTGACACGATCGAATATCTTGATCTTGACGAAGGCTGTCTGGGAATTACCAGCGGACATTGGAGGGGCATTCATATTAGTGGCGTTTGATAAGGAACGAGATCGGGAGGACATGGCGATAGATGGCTGTGATGAACAAGGAGATGATGGAGATGGAGTGGCGTGTTCTTGCCAAGCAGAGTTCGAAGCAAAGGATGACCGAGAGGAAGCACTTGCACGAGAAGTGTCAAGACGCGGATACGACGGAGACGAGCGGCCGTTGTGTTTAGAATGGGACCCCGTGCGGTGATGTGATGTCGCTGTATTTGGTCGATGAGGTTGAGGGGTTGCGCTGGTTTGTGAGTCACGAGTTATAATATGAGTAGGGGGCGTGTGGTCCTCTCCATAATCTGAGCCTTCACTTCGATCATCTCTATCTGTTAATTTCATATCCCCAAGCGTGTCGCGAACTTCCTCTTCAAATTCCTCTGCAACGGTTTGTTCTCCCGTGGCTTCTTCAGCAAAAAGTGCCCTGACCTCGTCATAGCGAGGATCGATATCATGTTCCACATCTCCAGGTTTGAGCGATAGAAATTCGCGCACGAGGTGGTGTTCAAGAATATAGCTGGCACCAACCGTGTTTAAGGCACACAGCTTGTGCAGATACTCGTCAAGTTCTTCCCGCCGGGCGGCAGTGACCTCATCGTTGACATTTTCGGCAGGACCAGGCATGAATGGGAGTATCCGGACGGAGTCCGGTTCTCGCCCAGCTTCGCGAGGGAATGCCTGTAAGAGGTTAACTTGGAAATCGAAGAAGTCATTATATACTCGGAATAGGACGAGCTGTTTCGCTTTTGGAAGTGATTGAGGGTCGTGAGGATCATAAGGTTGGTAGATGGCGTCTGTGCGGAACCAGTACTCGTTCATTTCATTGTGAAAGGAGACCACGTCCGCTGATAATAGAATGCCTTCGGGTAAGAGGACGGGAGAAAAGGCGCGGGGAGGTGGTGCGGATTCAGGTTGTGGGCCGGAACGCTGGGCAAATGATTCCTCTATGACGCCAAGGGATATGCTATTTGCTTTGTAATTGAATACAGCCCTCTTCCATTCTTCGACACCTGGGAGATCTCCGCTGTCAATCAAGGCATTGACATCATCTACTGGGAGATTTGTTGTAGGATTGCGAACTTCCACAAAAGAAGCGGGGATTAAACCAGGCCGGCCAAGTCGACCAATAGGTTTTGCGACAAACCATTCGCGGTTTGACTGTGCAACTACAGTTATGCAATCGCCGGACTTGGCGTCAAGCTCGTCCGCGCGCTCGGCTATGAAGTCGTGGAGAACTATTGCAAAATATGCAGGTGCTTTTGGGGACTTTGGAGATGTTGGACTGGGGAGGGTGGGGCTCTTCAATGCGACATTGACAGTGGAAGTGCGTACACTGTGGAGATTTTTAGCGCGCAGGTAGATGAATGTAGAATTGTACTGACGCTGGGCTCTTGCAAAATTCTTCAAACATAGATTTTGGGACCAAACCTCTAGCCCCGGTTACAGGATTATGTGCATCATACCAATCCCCCTGAGATTCTGTATTTCCTGTAACATAAAAAAAGTCACCCTTCTGAAAAGGGAGTTGCTGTGGGCCCTGTGGCCTGTATGATGCGATTGCACGGATTACTTTTTGAGGGGGTAGAGCAGCATTCTGAGGTTTAGATACAGAAGGTAACGGTAGAGGGGTAGAGATTTCAAGACGGTGGATATCGCGGTGTCCGTTGAGAGATTTACGTAGGGATTTCATCATGAAGGAGCGTAAGAAGCTGACAAGAGACGACGAAACAGACGAGGGTTAAGGACAGAGAGACTAATTGAAATTCCAAGTACATGCTTTTGTTAATGACCTCTTTAGGGGAATTTTCTCACGATGATAATGACCCCAAGTGACTATCGGGAGCTTAAGTCCACAGTAGACTACATCCAGGTCATAGGTCGACTTTAAAAGTTCATGACAAGTCGTTGAAATTGTCTAGCTCGATGTGTCGCTCGACGGACTCCGATTCCGAAATTTTTCTAACAAGTTCCATCCCGTGTTTATGTAATCCTTATGAGCCAAATAATTGTCAATTTTACGATCCAGAGCGACCAGCTGATATTCGTCAATTGTATTTCCACTCAACTTGTGTTTTCTTATAATGGCGGCCAGAAAGCTGCAAAGTATGTCGTTCATTGCCCTTTGCTGTTTTAGTCATTCAATTCAGTCATGTCTCTCATAGCCGAAATTGACCGTACACTAAAGAAGGTGGGCGAAGGCGTCGAGGTGTTCGAAAGCATATATGAGAAGATGCAAGCCTCTACAAACCAGACGCAGAAGGAGAAACTAGAGACAGACCTGAAAACACAAATAAAGAAGCTCCAGCGGTTACGCGACCAGATCAAGGCATGGGTAGCAAGCAATGACATCAAAGACAAGTCCGCACTCTTGGAAAACCGGAGACTAATAGAAACTGTGCGTGTCCGTCGCTCCATGTCGTCACATACGTGCCTTCCCATTCCGCGACTCTTCTGACGATTTGTGACTCATATTTGTGTATACAGCAAATGGAGAAGTTCAAGGCCTGTGAGAAGGAAATGAAGACAAAGGCATTCTCCAAAGAGGGTCTAATACAGTCGGCCAAACTGGATCCTAAAGCTCAAGAGAAGCTCGAGGTCACGACGTGGCTTCAGACGCAGGTTGAGGATCTTTTGTTGCAAGTAGAACAAGCAGAAGCGGAAATTGAGACACTCCAAGGCGGCGGCGGCAAGAAACGCGGAAAGGGTAGTTCATCGTCTGCTGGTCGTTTGGAAGATCTAGAACACCTCAATGATCGTCGAAAATGGCACGTCAACCGACTCGAACTCATCCTTCGTCTCCTGGACAATGGTTCTTTGACCACGGATCGTGTACAAGCTCTCAAGGAAGATGTACAATATTTCGTGGAAAGCAACACGGTTCGTTGCGCAGCAGTATGTTCTATTTTGAGACCTTTTAAGGCGTTTTCTGGGGCAGGACGAGGACTTCATTGAATATGAGGGTATCTACGACGAACTTAACCTTGAAGAAGAGGAGGAACAGTTCGGTCTGGCTGGTGACGACGATGAAGATAGCGACGAGTCAGATGCTGCAAGTGACGGTATGTATTCGGCACCTACACCACTACTGTGGAATTGACTTTGGCAGACCTTCCTCCACGAACGCCGAACAAGCGACATGAGAAGGATGAAGAAAGTGTTGCGAGCAGTAAACGCGCTGAGAGTCCCGTGCAAAAGAAGACTGGAGTGACACTTCAGTTGCGGAGTACGTGTTGGTTCATACATTGCGACTGTGACTTACAAAACATTACCAGAACCATCAATTGCAACGGAAGGTCTGTTGGTGTTTTTATTTTGTTTTGGGTAAATGATACTCAAAGTTCGTTCGGAAAGTCAAACCACCTCCAAATCCAAACTTTGCACAGCAGCCGATGGCGAGCATTCTACGAGCTAACCTACAACCGACAACTCCACGGCCGCCACCGCTTCCGATTCGTTATGCTACAGCCGCTGCTGCCGCCGTCACTCCGCCGTCTTCGCAACAGAATGGCGCATTACCACCAACGCCCTCGACATCACAACCTATTCCACCCACGCCGTCAACGAATTTCCCTGAAGCAACATCGTCTACACTCTCAATAACGCCGTCGGCTTCGCAAAGTGGATTGCAAGATTCGCAATTTACATCCTCGCCCAGCTTGACACATCCATCAGTCACGAGTCCGATGCTATCCTCTGCTGCGTCACATCAACAGGAGGGGTCGTTCTATTCTGGGCAGGATTCACCAGCAATATCGGAGGCTGTTCCAAGCTCTGTAAGCGGTCCTGCAGCCACATCATCTCCACAGCGTCAACAGAAAGGTGTGTATTTCATGACAGGAGCACGAGGACAGAGTTAATTTTTGCTTAGAACCCGCAGCGTCACCTCTTCTCGCTAGGGCACCTTCACCTGCTGTACCAGTAAGTGTTTACCGATATTGTGCCCACGACGAAACCTCATGAAACGTAAATAGCCGCCAGCATCAGTATCGGCAGTGCCACAATTCCAACTGATCACCAATGGAACCTCGCAGATTACCCAACCCCCCACGCAGTTGCCTGCGTCAGCGTCATCGCCACTACCTCAACAGATACATCAGGTCACAGTCCCATCAGTACTTCCCACTCCACCCGCAAGTTCGACGTCTGTAATACAGCAGGCACAACAGTATCCTCCGGGTATAAAGGTACCACAGAGTGTAGATCAGCAACCGGCTTCTGTCCAGCAGCCAATTGGAGGTTCGCAAAGGCCTCCTTCAACCACACCAGCACAGCAACCGCCACATCCTCCTTCGCGTCCAACTGGTTCAGGCACATTCCCTGGCTCTCTATCAGACCTCGTTGCATCGTTTGAAACGGTCAAACAAAAAGGTTTGTTTTTTGGATCCTGTCTGCGCAAACAAATCCTGACGAGTAACCAGCTCCTCATCGTATGACAAACCTGGGAGAGGTACATAAACTCCTTGAGGGCGGTTACTCAAATGTCCCACAGCCACAAGACACCGAGAAGTACTACATGTCGATTTAAGTATATTTGATAGGGGCTAATGTGTTGTTCACGCAGACCAAAGTACTATGTGCCACGGAATCCCTTTGCCACCCCATCATTCTATCCTCAGATTCCTCATCCTATTCTGAGCACCCCAGGGATCTTTTCCCAGATAGATGTGGAGACTCTCTTCTATGTCTTCTATTACCTGCCGGGGACATATCAGCAGTACGAGAGCAATCTTACGTTCTATGCAAATTACTCACGTAACTTCTAGATATATGGCTGCTAAAGAGTTGAAGCGCCAATCGTGGAGATTCCATGTGAAATATATGACATGGTTCCAGCGACATTCGGAGCCGCAAGCCATAACAGAAGAATACGAACAGGGCGTGTACGTTTACTTTGATTGGGAGGGATCATGGTGCCAGCGCAAGAAAAGCGATTTCCGGTTTGAATATCGTTATCTCTCGGAGGATTGAAAGATTTTTTCCACTCTTTCGTTCCTTGTTATCCTTGTTTTTTTGTCATTGGCTCCCGCCGTGACCATATGTATCGCCATACGCGCCACTACTGGACAGTCTTGCCAATCACATTCGTACTAACTTGCAACCCTATTTCTTAATTATAGTGAATGAATTATGGCTTGAACATGCTCATTGTGAACTTGAACCCGCTTTCAGATTGTCCGCATGATGTTTGGCTTGTAGACGCGCGAGACCAAGTTGGGGTGAATATCCCTTTAATTGAGCATGCGCCGAGGCTTGCGGTCGACGCGAGTAAAATCCGAGATCAGAATCTCCCATGGATAATCTTGCAAGACAATTGAGCTAATTTGCAATGTCTTTAATTATAACGAATGAATGATAAGTCGAACATGCTCTATACATAGGACTTGATGATCTACTCAAGCACCACTACTGCCCCCAGTTTTTCCAGGACCTCTTTTAGTTTATCCGCATCTTCTTTGGGCATGTTTTCCTTGAGGACCTGAGGTACGGACTCCACGAACTTCTTAGCCTAACGCCGAGTCATTATAAATAAATATCACTTTAACGAGCACATGCGCCGAGACTCACGTCGATGAGGGTAAGGTTCGGGATCAGGGCCTTGACCTCACGAATGATCTTGGGCTTGGCTGCGGCATCGAAGGACTGAAGTTTCAAATTGAAGATAGTCTTCTCCTTCGGTTTCTCCTACTCGATTTAGTTAAACCCCTTCTTTCATTCAAGAGTTTTTTTTTCGCACCTCTACTGCTGCTTCTTCAGCCGGAGCGGCAGCGACGGGTGCTGCGGCTGAAGCTGCTGGCATTGCGATTTCTTGAATGTTTAACCGCGACTTTTGGGGGGTTATTTGTGAGTGGTTTTTATCATCATTGAGATGCGGGACGAACTTTCAAGAGGGTGACGAGGTCTGCTGCTTGGAGCAGCGTCAAGCCGGAGATGTCGTCCACTATGCGGCCAATTTTCGGGTCACTTGGTGGTGGAGGAGCTGCTGCAGACGATGATACAGTCTCTGTTGCTAACCATCTTGACCGGCTAGCTAGAGGAGCAAGGGCAATGCTACAAATGCAGTTTGAGCATTCGAACCAAGAATTTTCAAACGTGGTGGTGTTTACCGTGCGCTAGTCAATCTTGATGTCGAGCATAGAAGAGTATAGCAGCGGCTCTGCGAATTCGGTGAGTATAATTTCGGGAAGCAAGGTCGGATGCTTACTGCCATGGTGTTCAGTCGTTGTATATTTGGACTAAGTTTCTGACGCGACGTACAGATGTTATTTGGTCGTGTTATGCAGAGGCTTCTAACTTTGAAATTTGAAATTACAAAATTTTCACTCTGGTAATGAGCTACCACCTCCAAGTGAACCACCCTGAATGAGTTTATCACCACTTACCGCTCCCTTTGTTATGGGGCGAACCCTGAGATTAAAGGCTCCAGCTGTTATCAGGGTAGTGCCACCCCATTCAGTCGGGTATTTTCAAGCGTCAAGCCTGAGGTATTAAGACGACGCCACCGCAGGTTTATGTGATCCTTTGTTCAGTACTTTGTTCTGAACTCTAAGGCTTTGATCCTTGAAGCTAGCGCTACAGTTCAAGTCTAACACTAGTGCTTTTGGGACTGCTGTAGACTCCGTTCTACCGCGCACGGACTAACTAGCTTATTTCCGACTACTCGCACAGACTAGAGTCTCATGTCGTTTAAACTTTATCATTTCGTGGGATTGAAAGTGGTGGTTTGACACGGTTCAGTAGGCGAGCCCCAGTCTGGCAACGTTGACTGATGGGGGAAAAGATGGAACGGGTAGGCGTTGAAATTTGACTTGATTAGGCGCTGATTGAGTTGAGCTTTTTCAGGGTTGACTTTGGCCCAGCATGCGGTATCATTCTCATGTCTAGGAAACATCAGGATTTTGATGCTCCGCGATTCAATCTGACCTCCCAGACCTCGTGTACAAACTCGTTTAGCCGGATCGGATGACCGCGCTTCCTAGTGCGGGCGATTCCTATGTCCTCGCAAAACCACAACGGAAGACTTCTGTTGAGGAAAACCCCAGAAATTGAAAATTTTAACTCGGAGAGGGCGCGCTGATCGGTAATGAATGTCGTTATGGTGTGCCCTACAGTTCAAGGTCGAGCCTTTTCGTCGGGCTTATGGATTTGTATGTAATGAGGTTGTCAGCCCTGAGAACAGGAGGAAGAGTGTCGTTATCTGGCAATTTGCGATTTCGAAGGTCGTGAGCTTCATGTGACGTCGAATCATCACCTTTAGACAGAAGGCCCCATCTGTCAATTTTCACGCCTTCACGGCACTTTCCAAAAACAGTTCCCTACCGAATCTAATCATACAAAAGGTTGTTCCAGCTGTTGCTACCATACGAAAATCCCCTCGACTCCAGGTATTTCATCTCATATCCTTATATCCGCATTCGTTACCTGCAATGGGTCTTCTCGACAATACGTGCGTATACCCCCTCCCCCCCTCCTCCTTCATACTAATGACCTGCCAGTTTTGGTGCATTCTTAATCGGGGTTGTCATCTCTGCCACGTAGGTGTTCAATATCGTTCTGTCAAAAACGACGTGTTCAAATGGGAACTGGCTTTGTTACAGCCTTTACGGTGGTACGTTTATCCGCTTTTCGTTTTAGCCTAGTCCTGATCATTCCACAAAGTCACTTGCGTGCAGACATGGTACTACTACAGCCGCTACCCCTCGGACCCTTGGTACATCAAGCTCTTAGTACGTTCACGTACCATAACCTAAATCTTGCCATTCAACGGGATTTTTTAATCTAGGTTGGCGCAGTGCTTCTATCTGATTCGGTTCATCAAGCTCTCATTACGCATACAGGTAAGTGCGCCGCCATACATACCGTTCTTCTCGGCCTAATCATGTCAACGTTCCGATAGTGTATACTTATCTTGTTACTGACTTTGGCGTCCCTGCTGACCTCGGCAAACTTGTCTGGAGTTTGATCGTAAGTCGCCTATCGTCCCTCCCTGCTTCTTCTCTCAACGTTTGCTTAGGTCGAAGTATTGTTCAATGGCTTCACTGCACTTATCGTTCAAAGGTCAGTATCAGACCTTTCTGGGAAAAAAAAACGCGTCGAGCTGACTCTCGTCCTACTAGCTTCCTTACCATGCGGGTATATAGACGTATGTGTGATACTTATTCACCAGCAAATGTTTGCTTAATTTCAGCCAGTAAGCAACAAGAGTATAGTTGCGACCCTCTCTGTACTGTCCCTTGTCTTTGGTGAATTTCTCCTTGTTGTCAGTGAGTATCCGATCCTTTTTTCAGCAATCAGTCCACTAATGCAATATCTAAAGTATACGTTGCGAAGGCGTGAGTCGTGTAGGAATACATCACGCGATCCCGCTAATGAAAACTACCTCTTTAGTATCAATATGACGACATTCGTAGAACTCGCCACGCTCAAGCCATTGTCCATGTCTGTAAATGCCTTAGCAGCCGCTGGAGACGTCCTCATCGCCGCATTGCTCTGCACACTCCTTCAACAATCTCGCACTGGATTCCGGAGGTCCGACAACATGATCAATAAGCTGATTCTATTCAGCATCAACACCGGTCTCCTCACCAGCATTTGCGCGGTCATGTCCCTCGTTTCTGTGCGTAGCAAGTTCCGAATAGCCTGGTGTCGCGTTTTCTGACCTAGTTGGCACAGATTACAGTGTGGGATGGTACTTTTATTTATATCGCATTTTATTTCTGCTTGGGCCGTCGTAAGTGCCATTCAGCCGCATTAAAATTTCACGAGATCGATGACATTATTTCCAGTTTACTGCAATTCGCTGTTGGCGACCCTTAACGCACGCAAGAGTCTTCGTGGTGATACCCGGGACGATAACATGTCGCTCTCGCTTCAGGGAATCCAGAAGACCTCTAATAGCATTGGTACTTCGCAAAAGGCAAGTTCTTGTCAAATTTTTCTCAAATGGCTTGGCTTACCCATGATCGAATCCTATCAGCGGGCTCCGAATAACATCTCGATTAAAATTGATACCACGCAGGAGTACGTTCGAGATGAGGTCAGTTCTCTTTTTTTACCGGGGCCGCGATCTATCGCTGATCCGCATGCACGGCAGTACTCATCTGCAACGGAACTTAAAAGTGCTCAGGCCGTTTAGTCGGTTCGGGCATGAGTGCCACGAGGACGATGAGAAGCGTGAAATGTACCACCCCATACTTTTGGTGTCAATGGTTCTTTGCATTGTTATAACGTATATATGATCTGCACCAATCTGGTCATTGGAAGCCATGGCTACTCTATTCCTTCGTACATACCCGTTGCGTATTGATTGTTTTTTGAGCATTGCATTTTGAGGAATATTAATACATGGATTTGCATTGACGATCTGTTATAATGTACGTATGATGAAGCCTGGGTCGTGACCCTGAAGAGTTTTAGTTGGCAGCAGGAGCAGACTAGGTAGGAATAGGCAAGCTGGTCCGTCGTGGGCAAATTCGATATAACGGTTGACCCGCGGGGTGCCTGAAAGTTGTCCCAATTTATTATCCGGTTGACAAGCATCTTACGCGTTATGTTACGGGACCACTTGTTACGACCAGCCCATTATCAGCTGCTCTCGCGCTTCCAGAAGATTGCGACGAAATGAGGAAGGAAATACTATATCATCCTACCTGACAATCAAACTTCCATACTCTCTCTCCTCCTCATCCTCACTCTAAAACTCCTTCCACCAATAGTCGACTATGATGACGCTCACCGACATTACTTGGCTAGACCTAGGCCTTGCTGGAGTCGGTGTGTATCTCGTAAAGCAGATATTGACACAGAAGAATCCCGCTCCATATCCCCCTGGTCCCCCCGGACGTCCTCTCATTGGCAATGTCCCAGACATGCCTCAGGTCAAACCTTGGCTCACCTTCACTGAGTGGGGCAAGAAATATGGTGGGTCGTCACCTGTTCAGTTCTCCCAGAATCATTGCACCAACCACTCCGTCCAGGCGATATCTCACATGTGGAAGTCCTGGGTCAGCATATCGTAGTCCTGAACTCTGTCAAGGCCGCAGTGGAAATGCTGGAAAAGAAGAGCTCTCTCTACTCTGATCGTCCCGTTCTACCTATGGGCGGTGAACTCGTTGGCTGGAAGAACACTCTCGTTCTTCTCCCTTACTGGCGATGATCTGCGCGAGTACCGCAAAAACTTCCACCGCGTTATCGGTAGTCGCGCCGCCATGGATATCTACCAACCCATCGAGGAAATAGAAACTCATAGATTCCTGAAGCGTGTGCTGGCGAAACCTGACCAATTGCAGGCTCACGTGCGACAGTACGTGTTTCATCTTTCCTTATATTTCCCTACTTGATGGTTTGAATTTGAATAGTACCGCTGGCGCTATCATATTGCGTATTTCTCATGGTTATGAAGTCAAGGAGAACAATGATCCTTTCGTCGACCTTGCGGACCTTGCTGTCGACCAGTTCTCAAAATCCACCGCTACTGGTGCCTGGTTGGTTGACATCATGCCATCTTGTAAGGACATGTCGTTTGAACTGTCGCTTACAAGTCTTTGACTATTTGCAGTGGCCAAGGTACCCGAGTGGGTTCCTGGTGCTGGCTTCAAGCGCGTAGCTCGTGAATGGCACGAGACGCTCGAAGACATGGTCGCTGCACCTTACAAGTTCGTCAAGGATCAGATGGTGACTAACATTCGTAGCTTTTTGAATAGGGAGGAATTGAAGTCTCAATTTTACAGGCTGCTGGTATCGCTCCGAAATCTTTCACCTCGAATCTGCTGGAAGGCCGTGTTTTGTCTGCCAAAGAGGAACACATCGTGAAGTGGTCTGCTGCATCCTTGTATTCTGGTGGTGCCGACACGGTTAGAATCGACCTACATATTTCAAATTATGACATTTTGAGACTAATGGGTTTTTCTTAGACAGTTTCGGCGATTTATGCATTTTTCCTGGCCGTGACACTTTTCCCCGACGTGCAGAAGAAGGCTCAAGCTGAGATCGATGCCGTCGTTGGTCCTGATCGTCTTCCCTCCTTCAGTGACCGCGATTCCCTTCCCTACATTGATGCGGTCGCGAAGGAAGTCTTGCGCTGGAACGCTGTCGTCCCTACCGGTTCGTGTATCTTGTTTATGGTGTTCTTTTGTTGACGAGGGGGCAATCCCAACGATAGCTATTGCTCACCGTGTTATTGAAGATGATATTCATAATGGGTACTACATTCCCAAAGGCACTTTGGTCATCCCCAACGTTTGGTTAGTACTTTCCTCCTATTTTCGGTATGATTCAATGGTTTTGAATTGCGGCAGGTTTATGCTCAATGATCCTCGGACGTATGCCGAACCCTCGGAGTTCAACCCTGAACGCTTCTTGGCCAAAAAAGGAAAGGAGCCTGAGACCGATCCTCGCACAATCTGCTTCGGGTTTGGTAGACGGTAAGCATTGAGTCGCTATTCGGAAACGAGATGCTGACGTTTTTGGTCCGCAGTATCTGCCCAGGTCAGTACAGAGCGCTAATCTTCAGGACAAGAGTTTCTGATATCGCTTGCGTTTAGGTCTTCATCTCGCTGATGCATCTGTCTGGATGACCGTTGCGATGTCACTTGCGGTATTTGATGTTTCCAAGGTTGTTGAGAATGGTGTCGAGATCACCCCTGAGGTTGACCCCTCGTCAGGTACAATCAGGTATGTCGCGCTCGTTGTCGTATGTCGTGCTGGTCTAGACAAACATATTCTAGCCACCCCAAGCCCTTCAAGTGCTCTATCAAGCCCCGTTCTGCACAGTCCCTTGCGCTCATTCAGGAAGATGCCTAAGGGGGATGCCTGGAGAACAATGCAGTTGCCTTGGATCGCGACTTACTTGACGATGCGTCATGCCTTGTACTCGGAGGATGTGCAAGATGATCGGCCGCGTATCTCGATATCGTATATTTATGACATTTTTACTTCATCTTGTTGGAATAATTTACAATTGTGTGTAAATGATATTACCGTGAATCTGTGTGACATCATGGGTCACTGGTGTGGTACACGGTCTGTCGCAACAGACAACTTACTTGGATGATTTAATAATGACGAGACGGTACCGACATGTCAGTGGGTACGAGTCGTACGACTGACAACGTTTAGCCTGTTTGACACCTTCAATCAGTCGGTCTATCAGAGAAACGTAATTCGCGACAGTAGCACACCATCAAGTGCTTTTCCGACTCGGGTTCTAACAAGAATTACGTACGAGTCGACACTTCTTCCGAGTGCAGCATCTCACACCCGTCCATATCACACCGATACCAACCCCCGTTGTCATCATCCCACCCATAGAGTCGCAACCCGTTTGCGAACAGAAGACGTTAGACGTTGATCGATATGATTGGTTGACAACTCCGATGTTCTGCCAAAGTTGTCACGGTACCGCGTCCTCGTACGAGTTTGTGGCGTGGTGATCACGATGACTGATTCCCTCAACTGACTTTGTCTGACCCTGACAGGTTAAAAAGCTCATCCGCCCTTTGTGTTCACGAATGGATAGACATGTGAGTTGACTTGATGTAAGTCGCTGCAGGGCTATGGATCTTGATTCATTGAGTCCTACGGGCGTTGTGCCTATGTACGACGTGCGTACTGCTTTTTTTTCGGGTGCCTATGTGCGACGTGCGTGCTGCTTTTTTCTGGAGTGGTGCCGGAGTATCAGTAGAGCAGGTTGTGGCATGGGAAAGGAAGTAGTAATACCGGTGCCGTCAACATAACAGTATAGTACTGTGCCGCACACAAGGGAAAAAACAAGATTAAGTATGAACCGGTGGGAATGTCGGGCGAACCTTAGATTCTATCTGCTGCGCATTTTTGTTCAGGTATGGATATATGCATATATGGGGACGACTCCTTCCGAATATTGGTCTGCCTCTACGAAGATGGTTAGCCACCCCACAATGTGTCGTATCCCACAGAAATGGTAGGATCGAAACCTACTCTTATCTCTATCGTGCTGTCTATTTCCAACCGTAGCCCCATTTGAATATCCGTACCCCTTGCAGTACGGCTCCATGGAGAGGTCATTGATATCGGTCAGGAGCTGTCGCAGAACAATCGGGACGAGGGACTGGCCCGGAATAAAGCGAGACATGCACGTTTCGGAGTTGCGATGGACGCGGGGTACTGGGACACGTGCAGGATAATACGCATAGATAGCTGGGATAGTACCATTTATCGTGTTAACTGTCCTGTATTCGTTTTCGAGCAATTCCCGAACCTCTTCAGATTTTGACTGTATACATGAATCACGTGATACAGGAAACTCTGAAGGACCGTTCCTTCTTTCTCTGTAACGTCGCGACAATCTGGCCTTGTCACTTCCTTCATGAACGACTTCGGAAGTGCCATGGCATTGAAGCTACTATTCCCGAAGCCACCGAAGCCCCCTAGCTTTATTCATATACTTCATCAACGGCTCACCTCGGCTGGTCATGAGTCCAAGTCAGCGCGGTAGCGCTTCAAACCGGTACAATGGAAATTTCACAAGATACAAAGGGAATTCCGTTATCCATAGGAATGCCAACACTCCTTACCATAAGGCATTCGACGCCACTAGGTTTTAAGTTTGGTAAACGGCTTTGACTATTGACCTTCTTGGAGCCTTATGATCCTGATCTGTCATAGCAGCTCTCCATTGAGATCCATGCTCTCCTTCGTTTCAGTTTTTTTTTACATACTAGTAACAGGCCGCGTGATGGGCCCCAGTCCAAGTCATAAATAAGTGGTGAGTAGATAGGACTCCTCTCATCTGGTCTTGCAAGCCTCATTACAACCCCACTTTTGAGTCGATCTTCCTCTCCTAGTACTAGATAATGTTGACTCTCCCCAACGTCACTGGGCTCGACCTATGCCTTGCATGCGTCGGAGTGTATGTCCTTAAGCGGGTGTTCGGCAAAAAGAACCCTCCATATCCTCCTGGTCCTCCGGGGTGGCCTCTCATCGGGAACGTCCTGGACATGCCCCACATCAAGCCCTGGCTGACCTTCGCCGAGTGGGGCAAGAAGTATGGTGAGTGTCTTTTGTTTCACACAATCTTGCATTTCAAGGTCTTGTCGACAGGTGATATATCGCATATCGAGGTTCTGGGTCAACACATCGTGGTGGTGAACTCTCTCAATATTGCGATGGAAATGCTGGATAACAAGAGCGCTATCTACTCTGAACGTCCTATCCTTCCTGTTGGTGGCGAACTTGTTGGCTGGAAGAATGCCATGATTCTCCTTCCTTACGGGGACCATTGGCGCCGGCAGCGCAAAAACTTTCACAGCGTCATTGGCACCCGTGCCGCTGTGGCTGTATACGACCAAGTCGAGGAGGTTGAGACTCGCCGATTTCTCAAGCGTGTGTTCGCGACACCCGATCAACTACAGGCACACGTCCGACAGTATGTATTATTTAATATTAGTGATCATTGCATCAACACGGTCTTGATTTTTCTAGCACCACTGGGGCTGTTATTCTGCGCATTTCTCATGGTTACGAGGTGAAAGAGAACATCGATCCCTTCATTGACCTCGCAGACCGTGCTCTGTACCAGTTGTCGGTTGTCACCGCTCCTGGTGCTTTCTTAGCTGATGTTTTGCCAATCTGTAAGTCATACCATTCAGGCGTTTGTTTACAATGGCCTCACCATTTTCAGTGCTCAAGGCCCCCGAATGGTTCCCTGGCGCTGGCTTCAAGCGTCTGGTCCGCGAATGGCAAGACACCCTTGAAGAGATGGTTTCTGCTCCATATAAATTCGTTCTGGATCAAATGGTAGGCATTATGTACATTTTGCCGCCGAGCATGCGTTGAGATTTGACTTTCACAGGCTGCTGGAATTGCCCCGGAATCTTTCACTTCGAATGTGTTGGGAGGCAGTACTGGTCGTTTGTCAGCGGAAGACGAGCACATTGTGAAATGGTCTGCTGCAACTCTATATGCCTGGCGCTTCCGATACCGTTGGTCCCTCTATATTTCCAATAATCATCTTCTGACAGCATACTTCTTGCCCTAGACTGTTGCTACCATCAACTCGTTCTTCCTAGCTATGACTCTATTCCCTGACGTGCAGAAGAAGGCCCAGGCTGAAATAGATGCTGTCGTCGGTCCTGATCGTCTTCCCTCCTTCGCCGATCAAGACTCTCTTCCCTACATCGGAGCACTTGTAAAAGAAGCCTTACGATGGCATCCTGTTATCCCTGCCGGTCTGTGTATCTCATTTAACGCATTGTTTAGTCGCCGAGCGGTATTTTCATGTCAGGTTTTCCGCACTGTGTGTCTAAGGACGACGTCCATGACGGGTATTACATTCCAAAGGGGTCCATGGTAGTACCTAACATTTGGTTGGTTCTCTTTTTTCAATATTCAATGTTTAAACGTAATATGATGGCAGGTTCATGCTCAATGATCCGGAGAGATATGCCAACCCTTCGCAATTCAATCCTGATCGCTTCTTGGCTAATGACGGAAAGGAGCCTGAGACAGAGCCTCGCACGATCTGCTTCGGCTTTGGAAGACGGTAAGCATGCAGTAGGTTTTTTGCGCCATGCTGACCTTCTGTTCTGCAGTATTTGTCCAGGTATGCTCCACTCCCAGAATGTATTCTGACGCTCTGTTGTTTTCGTTTACAGGCATTCACCTGGCTGAAGCTTCGGTCTGGTTATCTGCTGTGATGTCCCTGGCGGTGTTCGATATCTCGAAGGCCGTCGAGAACGGGATTGAGATTACGCCTGAGGTTGATCCATTATCAGGCACGATCAGGTATGTTATATATTGGATCACCACCGGGGCTGATCCGGATAGGTACCCTTCTAGCCACCTCAAACCCTTCAAGTGTTCCATTAAGCCTCGCTCTTCGAAAGCCGTCGCGCTCATCGAGCAGGATGCCTACTATTAAGCGTGTGAAGACGAATGACAACGCTGAGGAAAGTACTTACTGTGACATCTAGGTACGTTATAGTTCGAATTTTTGTATCATAATGCAAGATTGACTTTCATGTTGGTGTCACATCGCGATACAATTGTAGTTTTCTTGTTCCTTGTTCCATGTTGTTGACAGTGCATACTCTGGCCTCAAAGACACTCGCTAGTCACACCTCAGGCTGGACGCATGGTGATTACTTCCGGCTACATCACCAACAGCTCGCAACAGACTTATGTTCCTGAGCGCTCCATCTTATTAGCGTCGCGAATGTCCATCCCTGAAACTTTCTGCTGCGGCGCCGCAAGCTTTGCAAATATCAGAACTTTCTGATGCCATCAACTTTTATCTCCGTCATCGCTCATAAGACGGGAAACACAGCGCACAACTCATTGTAGATTGTAAGGCTGCTTATTGAGTTCGACGGGGAATGATTCGGACCATGAGAGAATGAGTGAGGGGGACTTTATTCAGAAGCTATAGAAAGTGAGGACCGACTATTTGTATGTAAGTGAGATTTGATCAGTCGACGAAATGAAAACTAGAGATGTAGAACATTGACTAGCACTTCGCGTTTCTTTCGACATCGTTTTCAGCACTTGAGTTCTCCGTTCCAAGCTATCATTCAAGTGACAGATGTAACATTTAAATTGATTAGTCTCTTATCCCAGATCTCGAGCGCTCGACCGGCAGTAAGATTCAAGTGATCCCATTGATCAACCGAGTAAAAAACCACTAGTACTAACTTGCGCGCGGTGCCATCAACCATACTGCAATGATGTGAAAGTAGAATCACGACTCATTGCCGCAAAATGTAGGGCATTTTTCAGCGTCAGCGTCATCGGGCCTGGCAGATATTTATGCTATCAAAGTAGCGACAACAGCGAGGGCAATTTTGAAACGCATCGTTTGTGAGGATTGATAGAAAGTTGGGTTTTAGTCAGACGGGGTGGTATAGTTGGTCTGACTCAGACCAACTATACCACCCCGCATGCACGTGACTCGGATCCCCCCAATGATGATAGCTTGTCGTGTTTTTTCATGCCCACAGAAATGGTAGGATCGAAACCTACTCCTATCTGGTGCTGTCTATTTCCAACCGTAGCCCCATTTGATTCTGTTGTTCTTTACGCCCAAACAACTTCATGGTCCGGTTTTGGCGTTGCTGAATGAATTGTTTCACTGACATGACTGATTCCGCAGAAAGAGGGCGAGTGCTGGGAATCGGAGTGATCTGCGTTTTTTAAGATGTGCGATGGCGCCACACTTGATGCGAAATAAGCATGCTCACCTCAGTCTACGGCTACCAAGGAGTATGAGGTTGATTTCTTTTTCGATCTTGTTGGAAGGCGAAGTCGCGAGTACGGGACCATTCGCGTGATAGGTGGTGCAGGGTGATCTTCATATCCTCTTCAGAAAATAATGTGTCTCATCCATACCCCTTCCAGTACAGTTCCATGGAGAGGTCATTGATATCGGTCAGGAGCTGTTGCAGAACAATCGGGTCGAGGGACTGGAATGAAGCGAGACACGCACGTTTTCGGAGAATTTCCTTTGCGAGCAACACCAGGGACGCGGGGTACTGGGAGATAATGTGCATGGATAGCAGGGACAGTACCGGTTATTGTGTGTTAAACTGTCCTCTCCGGTATTTGGTTTCGAGCAATTCCCGAGATGTCTTCAGATTTCGACTTTACATGAATCACGTGATACGGGAAACTTATCTGAAGGTGCCCGGATGATCAAACGCGATATTCCTTGTTTCTCTGTAACGTCAGCGTCGAAATTCAAGCGACAACACCCAATCTTTGCTGCGACAAACATGCAGACCTATACATCAGAAAACGTCAAAAACGAGACTGGCCTTGTCACTTTCTTCATGAACGACATTCGGAAGTGTCATAGCATTGAAGCTACTATTCACGAAGCCACCAAAGTCCCCTAGCTCTATTCATAGACTTCATCGACGGCTCGCCTCATGGACCGGCTGGTCATGAGTCCAAGTCAGCGGGATAGCGCTTCAAACCGGTACAAGGGAAATTCCAAAAGATACAAAGGGAATTCCGGATCCAGCTGAATGCCAACACTCCTTACCGTAAGGCATTTGACGCCACCAGGTTTCAAGTGTAGTAATAGGTGCAGTGTTTCGCAACGAACGGCATTTTCTATTGATCTTCTTGAAGTGTTATGATCCTGATCTGTAGCTCTCCACCGAGATCCATGGTCTCCTTCATTTCAGATTTTTTCAAATAATGACGCCGCGTGACGTGCCCACGCTCAAGTTATAAAGAAGATGATCAATAGATACGATCATCGGCCCTGCAAGCCTCACTACAACCCCACTCTTGAGTCGATCATCCTCTCCTAGTACTAGATAATGTTGACTCTCCCCAACGTCACTGGGCTTGACCTATGCCTCGCATGCGTCGGAGTGTATATCCTTAAGCGGGTGTTTGGCAAGAAGAACCCTCCATATCCTCCTGGTCCTCCGGGTTGGCCTCTCATCGGGAATGTCCTGGACATGCCCAACATCAAGCCCTGGCTGACCTTTACGGAGTGGGGCAAGAAGTATGGTGAGTATGTCTTATTTCGCATGATCTTGCATTTCAAGGTCTTATCGACAGGTGATATTTCGCATATCAAGGTTCTGGGTCAACACATCGTGGTGGTAAACTCTGTCAAAATTGCGATAGACATGCTGGACAACAAGAGCACTATCTACTCTGAACGTCCTATCCTTCCTGTTGGTGGCGAACTTGTTGGCTGGAAGAATGCTCTGATTCTCCTTCCTTACGGGGACCATTTGCGCCGGCAGCGCAAAAACTTTCACAGCGTCATTGGCACCCGTGCCGCTGTGGCTGTATACAGCCATGTCGAGGAGGTTGAGACTCGCCGATTTCTCAAGCGTGTGTTCGCGACACCCGATCAACTACAGGCACACGTCCGACAGTATGTATTATTTATTAGTGATTATTTCATCAACACGATCTTGATTTTTATAGCACCGCTGGCGCTGTTATTCTGCGCATTTCTCATGGTTACGAAGTGAAGGAGAACAACGATCCTTTCGTCGACCTTGTAGACCGCGCTATGGACGACTGGTCGCTTGTCAGCGCTCCCGGTGCTTTCTTGGCTGATGTTTTGCCAATCTGTAAGCCATACCATTCAGACATTTGTTTACAATAGCCTCACCATTTTCAGTGCTCAAGGTCCCCGAATGGTTCCCTGGCGCTGGGTTCAAGCGTCTGGCCCGCAAATGGAAAAACAATCTTGAAGAGATGGTTTCTGCTCCACATAAATTCGTTGTGAGTCAGATGGTAAGCATTATGTACATTTTTTCCGACTATGTGTTGAGGTTTGATTTTCATAGGCTGCTGGCATTGCCCCGGAATCTTTCACCTCGAATCTGTTGGGAGGCAGTGATGGTCATTTGTCAGCGGAAGACGAGCACATTGTGAAATGGTCTGCTGCGACTCTATACGCTGGCGCTTCTGATACCGTTGGTCCCTCTATCTTTCTAACCATCGTCTTCTGAGAGCATACTTCTTTTCCCAGACTGTTGCTACCATCAACTCGTTCTTCCTAGCTATGACTCTATTCCCTGACGTTCAGAAGAAGGCTCAGGCTGAAATAGATGCTGTCGTCGGTCCTGATCGTCTTCCCTCCTTCGCCGATCAAGACTCTCTTCCTTACATCGGAGCGCTTGTAAAGGAAGCCTTCCGATGGCATGCTATCGTTCCTACCGGTCTGTGTACCTCATTTGACGCATTAACTAGTTGCCGAGCGGTATTTTCGTGTCAGGTTTTCCGCACTGTGTGTCTAAGGATGACATCCATGACGGGTACTACATTCCAAAGGGATCCATGGTAGTGCCTAACATTTGGTTGGTTCTCTTTTTTCAATATTCAGTGTTTAAACGGAATATGGCAGGTTCATGCTCAATGATCCGGAAAGATATGCTAACCCTTCGCAATTCAATCCTGATCGCTTCTTGGCTAATGACGGAAGGGAGCCTGAGACAGAGCCCCGCACGATCTGCTTCGGCTTTGGAAGACGGTAAGCATGCAGTATGTTTTTCGCGCCATGCTGACCTCCTGCTCTGCAGTATTTGTCCAGGTATACTCCACTTCCAAACTGTATTCTGACGCTCAGTTGTTTTCGTTTACAGGCATTCACCTTGCTGAAGCTTCGGTCTGGTTATCTGCTGCGATGTCCCTGGCGGTGTTTGATATCTCGAAGGCCGTCGAGAACGGGATTGAGATTACGCCTGAGGTTGATCCATTATCAGGCACGATCAGGTATGTTACATATTGGATCACCATCGGGGCTGATCCGGATAAATACCCTTCTAGCCACCTCAAACCCTTCAAGTGTTCCATTAAGCCTCGCTCCTCGAAAGCCGTCGCGCTCATCGAGGAGGATGCCCACTATTAAGTGTGTGAAGACGAATGACAACGCTGAGGAAAGTACTTACTGTGACATCTAGGTCCGTTATAGTTTGAATTTTTGTATCATGTTGGTGTCACATCGCGATACAATTGTAGTTTTCTTGTTCCTTGTTCCATGTTGTTGACAGTGCATACTCTGGCCTCAAAGACACTCGCTAGTCACACCTCAGGCTGGACGCATGGTGAATACTTCCGGTTACATCACCAACAGCTCGCAACAGACTTATGTTCCTGAGCGCCCCATCTTATTAGCGTCGCGAATGCCCATCCCTGAAACTTCCCGCTGCGGCGCCGCAAGCTTCGCGAATATCAGAACTTTCCGATGCCATCAACTTTTATCTCCGTCGTCGCTCATAGGACGGGAAACACAGCGCAGAACTTATTGTAAACGCATTTTGAATCTGCAAGCATCATCTCGCCAAAGTCCTCTAACACTAGTGGGAAATCGGCATCTTCAGGTGATTCACCTTGCCTTGAGCAAGTCTGAAACAACACGAGCAAGAATCAGCTCGTACTGGTATATCCTAACGGGTGCTTAGTTCACTTTGGTCACCCCATTTGAGACATCTCTTTAGGTTGATTGTTTCTTGTAGAGGTTTATGCCCAAGAGGTAGTAATGTAGATGTCGATCGTACGGATTCCTTGAACTAACCATCGGCAGTGTGTTGAGAATCTATATCCGAGTGCTGCCACACAAACCAAAGACGAACAACTTGAACAGTAACTCAAACATATATCTTTGGACTCTGACTTAGTACCGTACAAAATATTAAAATCACCTGAGCACACGTACATCACGTGATACATTGTGCGATAACTTAAAGCTTAAAGTTGCATATCGAAGATTCTTGATTCTTTGATTTTTTACTCTAATGTCAGAACAGTTGCAACGCCAGAGTCGAAAATCAAGATTCTTCGAGGTCCGGTCAATTCTCTGGAACAGCGTATAGGCCAAAGCAAAGGAGACTGGAAGACCTTTTGTCACCGACTCGGAAGTACTACTGCATACGGCGATCACTACCATTTAAACTCCCCCCAAAGCCCCATAGTCCCATCAAGGGACTCTATCCACGGTCTGCCTTCTATGCAGTCGGGTTATGAGTCTAATACTTTGGAATAAGAGTCCTGACTCCTGGGATGCAGATTAGCCCTAGAGTGGCCGTTTCCTGGACATGTCCCACTTGAACACCCGCGAGCTACCCTAACAGTAGCGAGAAATTCGCCACCGATGTTTTCTAAAAGGCGCCAGTGCAATGATACGAAACGGTATGACCACATTCCGAGTCTTATCACGATGCCATACTTAGTAGTCACGCTCAATGTAGGTTTTTACTGAGACCGATGATCTCTATCATTTCAGACTTTTTCGAATGATGAAGTCGCGTAACGGGCCCACGCCCAAGTTATAAATAAGATGATCAATAGATGCGATCATGGGCCCTGCAAGCCTCACTACAACCCCACTCTTGAGTCAACTGTTCTCTCCTAGTACTAGATCATGTCGACCGTCCCCAACGTCACTGGACTCGTATGCCTTGCATGCGTCGGGGTGTATCTCTTTAAGCGGGTGTTCGGCAAGAAGAACCCTCCGTATCCTCCTGGCCCTCCGGGATGGCCTCTCATCGGGAACGTCCTGGACATGCCCCACATCAGACCCTGGCTCACATTCGCGGAGTGGGGCAAGAAGTATGGTGAGTATGTCTTATTTCGCATGATCTTGCGTTTCAAGGTCTTGTCGACAGGTGATATATCGCATATCGAGGTTCTGGGCCAACACATTGTGGTGGTGAACTCTGTCAAGATTGCAATGGAAATGATGGACAACAAGAGCACTATCTACTCTGAACGTCCTATCCTTCCTGTTGCTGGCGAACTCATTGGCTGGAAAAACGTTATGACTCTCCTCCCTTACGGGGACCGTTTACGCCAGCACCGCAAATACTTCCACAGCGTCATTGGCACCCGCGCCGCTATGGGAATATACAACCAAGTCGAGGAGGTCGAGACTCGCCGATTTCTCAAGCGTGTGTTCGCGACACCCGATCAACTACAGGCGCATGTCCGACAGTATGTACTATCGATTAATGATCATTTCATCAAGACGATTTTGATTTTGATAGCACCGCTGGCGCTGTCATTCTGCGCATTTCTCATGGTTATGAGGCGAAAAAGAACAACGATCCCTTTATTGACCTTGCAGACCGTGCTCTGTACCAGTGGTCGGTTGTCACCGCTCCCGGTGCTTTCTTGGCTGATGTTTTGCCATTCTGTAAGCCATACCATTCAGACATTTGTTTAAAATGGCCTCACCATTTTCAGTGATCAAGGTCCCCGAATGGTTCCCTGGCGCTGGCTTCAAGCATCTGGCCCGCGAATGTAAAGACACCCTTGAAGAGATGGTTTCTGCTCCATATAAATTCGTTCTAGGTCAAATGGTAGGCATCATGTACAGTTTTCCGAGTATGCCTTGAGGTTTGATTTTCACAGGCTGCTGGCATTGCCCCGGAATCTTTCACCTCGAATCTGTTGGGAGGCAGTGCTGGTCGTTTATCAGTGGAAGACGAACACGATGTGAAATGGTCTGCTGCCACTCTATATGCTGGCGCTTCCGATACCGTTGGTCCTTCTATATTTCTAATAATCATCTTCTGAGAGCATACTTCTTTTCCCAGACTGTTGCTACCATCAACTCGTTCTTCCTAGCTATGACTCTATTCCCTGACGTTCAGAAGAAGGCTCAGGCTGAAATAGATGCTGTCGTCGGTCCTGATCATCTTCCCTCCTTCGCAGACCAAGACTCTCTTCCCTACATCGGAGCGCTTGTAAAAGAAGCCTTACGATGGCATGCTACCATCCCTACCGGTCAGTGTATCTCATTTAAAGCATTAACTAGTCGCCGAGCGGTATTTCCATGTCAGGTTTTCCACACTGTGTGTCTAAGGACGACGTCCATGACGGGTACTATATTCCAAAGGGGTCGATGGTAGTACCTAACATTTGGTTGGTTCTCTTTTTTTTCAATATTCAATGTTTAAACGGAATATGGTGGCAGGTTCATGCTCAATGATCCGGAGAGATATGCCAACCCTTCGCAATTCAATCCTGATCGCTTCTTGGCTAATGATGGAAGGGAGCCTGAGACAGAGCCTCGCACGATCTGTTTCGGCTTTGGAAGACGGTAAGCATGCAGTAGGTTTTTTGCGCCATGCTGACCTTCTGTTCTGCAGTATTTGTCCAGGTATGCTCCACTCCCAAATTGTATTCTGACGCTTAATTGCTTTTCGTTTACAGGCATTCACCTTGCCGAAGCTTCGGTCTGGTTATCTGCTGCGATGTCCCTGGCGGTGTTCGATATCTCGAAGGCCGTCGAGAACGGGATTGAGATCACGCCTGAGGTTGATCCATTATCAGGCACGATCAGGTATGTGGCATATCTGATCATGTCCAGGGTTGATCCGGATGGATACCCTTATAGCCACCCCAAACCCTTCAAGTGTTCCATTAAGCCTCGCTCTTCGAAAGCCGTCGCGCTCATCGAGCAGGATGCCCAATATTAGGTATGTGAAGATGAATCTCAAAGCTAAGGAAATTATGCTGTGAGCGGTGATATAATTGTACATGTTTTCTTGTTTCATGTTGTTGACAGCGCATACTGGTATCCAAGACGCTTGCGGTCTATAGCTCAGACTTGACGCATGGTGGTTACATCACCAACAGCTCGCGACAGACTTAACGTGCTAAGTGTCCCATCTTATCAGCATCGCGAATGTCATAACTTTCCAGTACTATTACTTTTGATCTCCATCTTCGCTCGTTAGACGGGACACATAGCAGAGAGCTGCCAGCCACCTATATCGAGAGACTCACCTCTCGAAGTTGTTGTCACGTCCACAGCCTGATTTCAAGCAACAGATGCTCGACCGAAACCGCATTGGCACCATCGCTAGTGCTGGTGCCCGCATGTCCGTTCTTGGGTGTGTTGCTGTCACCGTTTCGAACCATATCAACAATCCAATTTATGTTTGGTGTGCGGTGCTCAGACGTCAATGTTCTAGTTTCCTTGAAATTAAAATTCCCAATGGCTGACGAACTTGTTGCCTGGAAGCATATCATGTGTCTTTCCCCTTTACGGCGACCAGTTTCGCGATACCGCAAGGACTTTCACCGCGCCACAATTGACACATACAACCGGGTCGAGAAGATTAATAGCCTTATAATTTTCCCGTCTCTCTGTTGTAATCCCCATCTCCTTCATTTTCAAGCCATATTTCTTGTACGAACTTCATGCGCACACTTCATCTTGGCAACATTCAAAACAACTTGTGTCTTATCAATGTGTCGTCAGCGTACCAATCTCCAAGCAAAGACAGTGCAAATCGCAGATTAGCCCAATGAGCTGCTCAATTTCCCCACGGACAACCCACAGAAGTGAACTACTTAGCTGCGGCGCTGAGCTCGCTTCTCTATTTGTTTTTGGTATCCAACCCGGGTCGCATAGTATGCGCGCTTTCTCATAACAATCAAAGAGATACTCGCCTATCATTTCTTGGAGCTTAATGATTCTATATTGATTGTTAGTCTCCCAACCGCAAATAATTTCTTGTAATAAATAAATAAATCAAGGATGAATAAATAGCTTGCAGTTGGCAGCATGAGCATATTACCTTGCGCAGAGAGCTGAGTCAAACCTTGTAGGGTGTCCAGTCAGACTACATAGAGATGCCAGGGCTGCGTTGGTCAGATTCACTCTTTCTGGACCGCCGAAGGTGTCAGAGCGTTATTAGTTGTACTGAAATCGGGATTGCCCGAATCACATGGTTGCAGGTTTGGCGTCGTTTGGCCTAGCATCCCAGTCAGGGACTGAAAGGAAACATCGAAGGATACATATAAATGCTCACTTGGAGTAGCATTGTTCTTTTCGTTTTTGCCTGCCGACATGGTGCGTTCCAGTGAAGCAGTTATGCCAGCGAGGAAGGATGGGTCAGATAACAAAGGAGCGTCGGCTACCGCTCGCTCAACAATGGGATAGCTAAGAAAAGTAGGCTAGACTATCAATACTGACCGAGCGGCAACAAGCGGACGAACCGGTCGATTTCTCCTAAAAGTTCACGCTGGATAGCATCATTGGGCATAGATATTAGTTTTGGGTCAGATGACAGCCGTTGTCGGGCTATATCATCGACACGAGATTTGAAGGCCTCTGTGCGGTCCTGTAGACCGGTTAAGCGGTTGTGCCACGTATGTATCGGATAATAACTCACACTGTGCTGGAAATGTGATAGGAGATCACGTCTCAGACGGTCAAATTCGCCTGATTTTTTGAATCTGTGGTGCAGCTCTTGAGTATTAGCCTAGTAGCCTGTGAATCGACTAACTCGTCTATTAATTGGGTTGGATTGTTGATGGTCATAATACAAAGGGCGCATACTAGGCGCTGAGAGATAACGAGATGACGGTGAAGGTGAGAAGGAAATGAAGACCCCGAAGCAGATCTCAGAACTCGCTCATGTTCAAGTTTGGCAAGGGATATCTATATACCCAAACGAATTCTCGGTCTCTTCCTCGAACTCATTCGCTGGCTCTGACGCGTACAAAAGTCATTTTTTCACTTGATTATCAAAATGACAGAATTTCCGACTCTAACAAATGACCTTCTCCTCCGCGCAGCTCGCGGCGAGCAGACAGAGCGTGCACCCGTATGGGTCATGCGCCAAGCAGGGAGATATCTCCCAGGTAAGCCACCTACATACCCTCTCCCTCAGATCTACCATAACTTGCACCAGAGTTCCGAAAAACTCGTGAAACTCACGAGTTCTTCGAGATATGCCGCTCCCCTACTCTTGCAACTGAGATCACCATGCAACCCATCCGGCGATACGCCGGCCTTCTCGATGCAGCCATCATCTTCTCCGATATCCTCGTCGTGCCGCAGGCCATGGGTATGGAAGTGATTATGAACCCAGGCCCGCACTTCACCGACCCCTTGAACACCCCTGCGGACGTCGAGAAGCTGCCCCGCGAAGTAGATGTAGAAAAAGAGCTCGGATACGTGTTCGAGGCACTCACCCTCACGCGAAAAACCCTTGCAGGCCAGGTTCCCCTCATCGGCTTCACTGGGGCACCGTGGACGCTTATGATGTACATGATTGAAGGGGGCGGAAGCCAGACGCGTCAGAAATCAAAGACGTGGCTCTTTAAATACCCTGAGGCTTCAAAACAGCTCCTTGAGCGCATCACAGACATCTGCGTGCAGTATCTCATCGGGCAGGTGAACGCCGGCGCACAGGTTCGTTTGCGTCTGTCTCATCGCGCATCAGATCACAGAAACTAATTATGAGTACCAATAGCTTCTGCAGGTATTCGATTCGAATGCTGGAGATCTGTCGCCGTACGACTTTTCTACGTTCTCTCTGCCTTATCTAAAACGCATCGCGGACGAAGTCCGTGAGGGTCTCAAGGCACGACAACTCCCCGTCGTCCCTCTCACCTTGTTTGCAAAGGGCGCATCCCCATCCCTCGCTGCAAGCGCAGGTTATGACACCATCGGTCTCGACTGGACGCTTGACCCTCGGGATGTTGCCAAGGTCACCGATGGTGTCATTGATGGTAGAACCATCACTCTGCAAGGCAACCTCGACCCCGTGGTGCTCTATGGCGGCAGAGAGGCCATCGAGCGTGAGGTGAAGAGGATGTGCAGTGCATTCCATGATGCCAGAGGCGGTGTATGCAAAGCATGGATTGCAAATTTAGGTCATGGTATCACACCAGGGGTTGATCCAGAAGACATGAAATTCTTCCTGGAATGTATTCACAAGTACTCAGCAGTGCCGTCTTCATGACGCGAGAGAAGAGCAAAAGAACTTGTAATTGTACCAATAGAATCTTCATTCACGCTGCTAACAGGCAGGGTGTCGTGAACGAGATTGCCCGCTCTCGCACATTATTCCATAGTGCCATCTGGTAAGACAAGTGGCACGGAAAGGTAAATGAGATCAAAGCTACACGATATGGATGCTCGATGGATGGATGATTTGGGGGTAATGTGGACAGTGCAGATACTGAGCCTAAACAACGCCAGAAAAATCATCATTAAATACAGAAAACGAATGAAGATGATCATTGTCGATAATAAAAAGTAGGAGAAACATGAACGCAACAGAGCATGAATATAGCGACAGATCCAATAGTATGGTGTCTATGCAACGACATCTGCATCGCTAAAACTGCTTCTTCTCCGTCTAACGGGTCGTGGACCAGGGCGTTGTGTAGACTTTGAAGGAGGCATGACGATGGCAGAGGCTCCTGCCTTCATCCAGGATTCAGGCCTGCCTGACCGCGTAGTTGGCAATTCCGCCAGTGAAGGTGCAGGGTTATGTTTCTTAGTGAGCGTCGGTAATCGCGATGGGGTAGGTGAAGGGGGCTGGGGCACACGGCGCGCTGATGGGGCACCGGGCCCTCTTGTAGCAGCGGCAGTGTTCCGTGCGGCTGAACCTCCAGTCAATCGGGGTATCTTGTTAGGAGGTTGAGCTGCCGTTCGACTGCCCCTGGTGACAGTAGTCTTCTGATGTACGCTTGCCACGGATGACCGCAACACCCGCGTCGGGCGTTGTTCGGACGCTGTACCTCTTGCGCCCGAGACTCGAGATGTTGTCCGAGCACGAGGCCGGGAAACGGGCGGTGCTGCTCCAAGAGCAGGGAGGGTATCATCCATCTCCACATCTTCTTCGTCAGATTCAATAGGAACTCGCTTTGCCATAGGCGTTTTGCGCGGTTGTCCTGGCGGAGGTGTCTCGTGCGTCCTCGCAGCTACAACAACACGACCGGGGGTGACGGGTGGTAGAGGTAGAGGTGGTGCGGGTGGCGTCAACGACCTGGTTTCGTGCATGACTTCGTCCTGTTCTGCAGGAGGTGTAGCAGGAGTCACGACATGTGCGACGGCTGCAGCTGCTGCTACCTGCAAGCGTCGTATTTCATCTGCAGCAGCCCACTTAGACCATTGAAGCTGCATCTGGTGCATGTAATGTTGCTGTGGACCAACAACACAACCTGGCCTGACAATGCGCATGAACGCAATCGCCTCCGATGCTGTAAAACCATACTTCCAGATAAGATATGCCCCAATGAGGCATCCAGTACGACCGAGCCCCGCTTTGCACTGAGTATGATATAAATATGTCAGAACAGTGAGAATATACACATATATATGAAATGACCCACGTGTACGGCAACGACCCCACCTCCCTCAATAACAGCGTCTGCCACATCAATAAAAGTGCGGACGATTTCGTCGGACGGATTTGACCCATCTTCGAAACAGAGATCAAGATGTTTGATTCCGCGATCCAAAAATAGCTGTTTATCGTAAAGTTCTGCGTTGAGACGGACGACGAGGTCGACTTTATGTTTCTCAAAATATTCGAGGCAATTGCAGAAAGCAGAATTAAGTTTACGTTGTAGAGCGAGTTTCCGAGGTGATTTTGGTGGTGAAGCCATACCCGGTCGCACAGGGGATGTAGGAGCTGCAACAGCAGTAGCAGTCTCGATTTCATTCCTCTGCTTTGTCCACGCATAATCTCTAGGCGATGCAAATGCGATGAAGTTGGGTGTTATCCAGTTCCAGTCACCATTCTCGACCTTCTCATAGAATTCGTAGTCTTGGAGGTCGAAAGTATCCAGGTCGATAAGGCGGTTTTGAATTCCTTTCCAGAAACCCCACAGACAGTCATGAATGCTAAGGTTGAAGGTAGAAGGGCCACGCCCTGCGTCTCTAAAAGACATAAACTCTAGTTCGCTTATGGGTTGGAAACAGCGCCATGGACTGTAATTATGGACGATTAACTGAGAGGGGGTGAATACGTAGGATTTTGTGAGATGGCGAGTCATACCATGTACAAAGCCATCAACAAAGCAGCATTAGCTTTACGGCGTGGATCATCGGAAGAATAGAGAACAAGACGGTGTGCACTGAGATCTTCGTCCTGCAGCGATCATGATCGCGTGCAAACGATCGAGGAGAATTGGACGCGTACCTTCAAAAGGCCGTGAATCAATAGGCACGCCTTGTAGACCATTGCGAGGTTCAGCGGGCCCCAGTCCTGATAGAATGAGGTGTAGAGCAGTTGGTCATCGATTGTAAAGTAGTAGTAAATTGCGTCATCGTCCGGGGAGGGAGCTGAAGGACCAAGTGGTGCACCCATGTGAGGTTGGGGGCGAATCCTTGGTGCATTTCCTGAGTTTGAGGCTGTGCTATTGAGAGATTGGGGAGATGGTGCGGGGTAGGGGAAGGTAGTAAAGTAAAGTCTAGAGATAGAATTAATTCAGAAAATTGGACAAGACCGGTCGTGAGAAGACTTTCCTGTCTCCAAAATAACAGAGTGGTGCGCAGGCTGGTGCCATAGGAGCTCGCTGTTGTGAACGGCGACTAGAACAGTAGAAAGCCTCGTGGTGGTCAGAGAGAAAGACGCGGTTTGTGAGGCAGGAACAATTGCCGCTATCAAGCCTCGAGGAAAGAACCACCTTACAAAAGGAAACGGGTCCCGTGACCGTCGCGTCCGAGTCAGGCCTTTGCTTTCTTCGATTGATATCCTTTTGTTCCACTCCTTTGACGGATTTTTAAATTAAAGCAACTGCTCTCACTCGCCACAGGCAGCTCCCAGAATCATAAAAGAAATTATCCTCAAGAGTCGACCAAGGATAATCCCAGCTCTGTGGCAAAAATAGTGCGTCTGCAACGAGGCAAACCGCTAAACCAACGTGGGGTACATATTAATGTGCGGCAGCGTCTAATTCTAGGCGAACAGACTAGGAAGCCTAAATGCAATACCAAGGCAGGGGGTCACGGGCGTAACTGAATCGAGATAGACTTGTGAAGAACACGAGTATCGGATCTTATGATGAATTTATCAGGGATCTTAGCGGCGCGAATGGTTTCACAAGGCATCAAAGGCGATTGAAACGCACTCTTGAGACGTTGTCAACGGTTCCGCCCACACGTTCAACCGGTGCTGTAGCATTTCAGACTGTTGTACATAAGACAAACTCTCAGGCCGAGAGCTTAAAGAGTCAGAACAAAGTCATTAATATGATGGTTGCTAGTCTCATCTCATGCAACGCTGGCACATAGTACTCGGTGGTATTACATGCTCTCTCCGAGAGAATTATAAAGTCTTCGGATGGCAGGCTGGAGGATGGCATCGCGTTGTTTGTTCTTGTTGAAGCACGTGTATGTATCGGAAACCGCGACACCCGTCAGCACCAGCTCGCCTGGGAGTCCACCGTCAAAATCGTTTTGATCCCAGTAATCCCCTGGAATCACGCATAAACGCGTTTAACTGTCTTCGTCATGCCTGAGGGTCAGATTTTTAAGGTGCTACTACTTGCTATCCGTTAACCGCCCTGCACTGACCTCATCCATGTGGCCCATAATCTCAGGCAACTTACAGTGGGATTCCCGTGTTCGAGATGTGAGTCGTTCGTTCCACATTCAAGTCTCAGCCTCATTCATGGCTACGCGCCAAGGATGTGCAAGGGCGTTGCTGTCATGCGCCGGCGCGCTGACTCGTGGCTCAACGCGACTCAGATCCTGAAAGTCGCGGGATTCGATAAACCTCAGCGAACCCGTGTGCTCGAGAGAGAAGTACAGAAGGGCGAGCACGAAAAAGTTCAGGGCGGGTATGGCAAGTACCAAGGTAAGCCATCTCCGCGATTCCTTTTTTGTGATCACTTGAGGAAGATGCTCCACTACAGGAACGTGGATACCTCTTGAACGAGGTCTCGCTCTGGCAAAACAGTACAACTGTGAAGCTGCTCTGCGCCCCATCATTGATTTTCAGCCAGCAGCTAAGAGCCCGCCTCTGGCTCCTAAACACCTTGTCTCTACAAGTACAGCGGCTCGTCCCCCGCGTCGCACCGCTGCAGAAGCAGCGGCTGCCCTTTCTGCTACTTCTCGCTCGCGTCGGAATGTTGAACCCCAAGTTGAATCCGACCATGAAAATTTATCCGTTCATGCATCAGAGGATGGATCCATGACATCCTCACCTTCCCGCGGCTCGTCAAGTTCACGCACTCCCTCACCCATAGGAAATACATTTGGATCGACGGATGCTACTAGAGACCGTCGCAGTGGCAATCGTCGAAAGCCGCCACAGCGCCACATAGATGAACGCTATGATGACGAGGGTTCAGAAGTTGAATCCACGCAGCCTAACGGCGCCACCGACCCACGCGCATACGCAGACCAAATCCTCGAGTACTTCATTTCTGACTCGAATCAAGTCCCCCAGGTTCTCATTTCTCCACCGCCTGATTTTGACCCAAATACTGCCATTGATGACGATGGTCATACGGCATTGCATTGGGCCTCAGCAATGGGCCGCCTACGTATTGTCAAGTTATTGATCACAGCGGGCGCAGAAATATTCAAAGTAAACAAAGCAGGCCAGACCGCGCTCATGCGAAGTGTCATGTTTGCAAACAACTATGATGTGCGGAAATTTCCCGAGCTGTACGAACTTCTTCATCGTTCCACACTCAACATCGACAATTACAACCGGACCGTGTTCCACCACATTGTCGATGTTGCAATGTCAAAGGGAAAGACACATGCCGCGCGGTACTACATGGAAACAGTGCTTAACCGCCTAGCTGACTACCCAAAAGAACTCGCGGATGTCATCAATTTTCAAGACGAAGACGGTGAAACTGCGCTGACAATGGCTGCCCGGTGTCGGAGCAAGCGTCTCGTAAAACTTCTCATTGACCACGGGGCTAATCCAAAGATCATCAACAATGATGGCAAGAGCACTGAAGACTACATTCTCGAGGACGAACGTTTCCGTGCATCTCCGGGCCCAACCTCACGCCTCTCATCGATGGCCTTCCGCAATGCTCAAGCGACTCTCGGTCCCACAACCTCCAATGCTGTGACGTTGGCCTACCCTATGAATGGTGATAAGCCGCCTCTCCATCACTCTGTCGCAGCGCAGAAGGCCAGCACGCGCTGTGTCAATGACATCACGAGCATGCTGGACAGTCTCGCCTCGTCATTTGACCGCGAACTGCAAGAAAAAGAACGTGACATGACACAAGCACATGCACTCTTGCAGAACATTCAGCAGGAAATTCTAGAGAGTCACCGCGCCGTAAACCAGCTCAAAACGAAAGCGGAGGGACTGCAGCTAGCGAAGAGTGTGCTTGTAGATTTGGAAGGACGGTTACTCGACAAGATGGGGAGGCGGTACCGTCTTGGCTGGGAGAAATGGGTAAAGGATGAGGAGAATCGCGAAATTTTGATACGGGACGCTGCTGATGGAGAGTTGATGATCACAGCAGCGACGGTGCCTTACCGGACGGATGATGACATTGAGGAAGTTGCAGAGCCTGGGAAGGACAAGGGGAAAGGGAAACGAAAGGCATTACCCCAAGAGGAGGACATATCAGACCTGTTGGCGCTATATGCTGACGTGCCTACGGATCCGGAAGCACTTCGAGCTACCTGCGATGCCTTACGAGAAGAGATTGGGCTGCACAGGAAACGAAGGAAAGATATGTTTGACGAGCTGGCGTCGTTCCAAGCAGAGGCGGGGACTGGGGGACGAATGGCTGATTATAGAAAACTGATTGGGGCAGGGTGCGGTGGAATGCAGCCATCGGAAGTGGACAACGTGATTGGGATGTTGCTCGAGGTGATTACATTTTTTCGAGTATTGGCTATATGTCTCACCTTTTCTGCTGTAGACACTAGAATCGGAGGAACCCAGCGCTTCATCGACAGCATGGAGCGGGTCCAAAGCTGGGCCGATGGGCTGACGGCTAGATTTGTTGAGGCGTTGGTAATTTATGACATTCTTCTCTTGTAATCATACCGAGCCTTTATTGCTGGATCTCAACTTCAATACAGACCGCGAACTCGCGTCTTTCTGCTGGAATATGGAAATTTTTATCAAAATTTTCCCTACATGTGAAGAACCATGTGGAGACTACAGTAACATTGATGTTGCCCTGTGATCCTGATCAGACAAAGACAAGCAGTGGCAATGTGACTACTTTGCAGTCATTAGTACTAATGCCAAATGAAATATAGAAAAACTAGTTTGCATTTTTAATTGGATGAATATAAAATATGCCGAGAATAAGCGAGTCGGGGGTTGGTGCCAACACTGTTACTAAGTTGATCTTAGCTAGAGTCTGGCGGCTTGAGGAGGCCTAAAGGTTGCTTAGTCAGCTAATCACTTTTCCTCAAGTGGTCAACGCAGTGCTCAGTCTCGGACTCGATGTCACTTACCCGTATACAGGTCCAACGAGCTACTACTGTCTCGCCATGGACGAGAGATTTTCGACATCTTCTCCCTGTCCCGAAACACTTCCAAAATAGACAGACATGGTTCGACCCCATCACAAAGGCCGTACGCGTCAAGGACCGCATAAAATACTGGAACGTCGTTCCAGGCGATCAAATTTGCATACGTGGTGACACACGCAAGACCATCCACGAGGTTCTCAGCATAAATAAATTTACCAACCGCGTCTATTTGAAGGGTGCCAACCTCGTGCGTAGCTAATTATACTGACGGTACTGCACTGGTTTTTCGGTGCTGACTGGATGGTTTTGTAGCACGAGGGGAAGCAATACAAGACCCCGGTCAACCGTAGTGTGCACTACTCAAAATGTATGCTTTACGTGGGTGAACAACTGCTAAAGGCCACCTCACCTGGTGAGCAGCCCAAGGCGATCTCGTAAGTGTTTGCACCTGTCCGTGTCCTTGCTTTTGACTGTATGTTGTCCACAGTGTGTTTGCGAGACGTATTAGTGTGCGAAAACCTCATTGGGATCCCATTCTCTACCGCTGGAACTGGAAGCGTCTGGTGCTCGCTACCGATCCATATACCTCGGAGACAAAGATCGAACTTGCATGGCCTCAACCGGAAGAGAGAGAACACAAAGAACGTCAGACACTCTTATTTTGATTTGAATTTATTTTCTGACCTCAAGGTGATGTAGCTAATCCATTGTTGGACACGACGCCTGAGGCGGTTCGGGAAATAACGTACAAACCACCCGTGTTCTCTCTATCCAAGTTGATTTCCCTCAAGAGCGGCACAACTGAGAACGCGTACCTTAGGACACTGTTCAATCCTTCCGCCGTTCCTTTCGACCCATCATCGCCGATGGAGGTACATGTTGTAAAGGAACTGAGCAATCCTCATAGCAGAGCGAAGAAGCAAGCGCGCTGGCAGGCTGCTATGAAGCGCAAGAGCACGCTTTTCAAGAAGTTCGTTGCCCAGGAACTTGGGCATCTCAATGGCCGGAGTATTCGTGATGCACGCGCCGAAGCTGCTTTCAAATACCGGCAAAGGCTAGAAGAGGAGAGAAAGTCAGAAAAGAAACGGAGGTGGTTGACCAAGGACCGTCTTGCGAAGATGCAAAGAAAGTCTCAGCGCAAGGCAAGGAAGGCGGAGAAACAGAAGGAGAAGCTCAGCCAGCTGGTCTTGCGGGATGCGCCAAACCAGTTTATTCCTGGCAAGTCTGCGAGGAGATAAGAGGCATGATATGGTGTTGGGGGATGCTTCTAGCTATAGTACACGCTTGATTGTTTATTCAACTGCTGATTAATTGCTTCCCCGATTATCTCAGATATCTGGATCCCTGTGGCCAGAATTACTGCTAATTGTGACGGTAGAAGTGACAGAATCACCACTTCTGCGACTTGACAACATATATTAGATGAAAGAGCATCAGCGCGTCGTGCACATCCCACTGTCCATCATTGTGTGAGGTGCTATCAACCTAGCATGATCTCGTCCTCAACAGATTTTGGTGAAACTCTGTGACCTCGGTCGATATACTCCAACTCTGCAAAATCATTCTTGGTAATACTTCATTTCCGTCAACCAGCACTCACTCTTATTCCAAGGCTTCTTGCTCACCGTGACGATAGCTCAAGTGCTGTGTCGATCTCATCAACTCACATTTGAGTGATATAGATTCAGGACCTGCAAGATCATCACCATTGCCCATACATACAAGATTGGCTTCCAGATCGACCGAGTCAATGCTTATGTTTCACGTGAGAGTAAGGTAGTTTGGGAGTTGGTTGTCATGACCTTGGAGGCGAAGATTATCTGGCCAGTGTTTGCAGGACCAGTACTAGTAGTTACAGTATGGCACCCAGATTTGTTGTCAACCTTCTCGTCACAGAATGAAATTGTTTGTTGGTTATGAAGGGAGATAAATTTCTACTCTAGTACTAGTGACTCTACGTAAGGAAGTGCAATTGGTCCAAATCACTACTAGACTCGTGACCAATTATGTCTGTCTAGCCATCGATTATCTCTTAGACATCCCAACCTATGTGTTTTAACATCATTCGCTGTGATCCCCGCCTTCGTCTTGTGATTTGACCCAGGCGGAACCGGCCGCCGCCGCTATGGCCCGAGGCCCCTCATTAATTTGGCAGAACCAATGGCGGACTTCTGCCCACAACACTCGAGCTCTGATTAATGCAAACGTGTGAGACCTGCTTCAGAAGGCCAGGTTGGCAGATTAATGGAATAAACTAGAGGACCGGTAGGACCGGGCTGGCACTTGCCCTGAGCCTTCTGAACAGAATCGGATCCGAGCACTTCTTTCTCGTTTCCACCACGCCCGTCACTGCCGTCAGCGCTGTTACATTCATAAACACAAGCCGCGAAGCCTTTCTGACATGAATATTCATGCGTCTGCTATAAGTTCAGACGTCGGAGGCGGCATGTCTAGATCTCGTATAAGCACAGAAGTCGATCACGACGACCCGGATATTTCACACTCACCAGATATGCATGGAGATGCTCGTATACGCTGGGTATATTTTATGCTAGGAGCCGCTACTCTGCTATCATGGAACGGTATGTCTATAGGAAGATATGGACCAGTCAATAACTGATATCTTCCGCCAGCAATGATCAATGCGAATCCATTCTTTATGTCCCGACTGTCGGGTTCACCACTGAGGACGTCATTTAGTTCGTATTTGTCCAGCGTCTTCACCGCTAGCAACGTGATTACATTGGGATATGCGATTATGACCTCGAAACAAGTGGGTACTGCATGCATGAGGACGATTCTCTGACCATGGCGTACCTTTTAGTCTTCCCCTTACAGGCGCGCCTTCTGGTCCACTGCGCTCACCTCAGCTGTCGTCACTATACTGTTTTTGACAACGTTCCTCCATCCTAGCCCAGTTCCATTCTTCTACTTCATCATGATAAGCGCGTTCTGCTTGTCAGGCTGTGCTTCTTATCTATCGAACTCAGTATTCGCCGGCGCAGCACTCTTTGGCGCACCTTACATGCAATCAATGATGTCTGGCCAGGCCGCAATAGCTGTTGCTGTCAGTAGTGTGCAAGTCATCAGCTCTGCCATCTCAATTTGGGGAACCAATTCACTGGCTCCAGCCTTTAATGATACCGACCCTGATGGTAAAGCTGAGGAAAAATCTGCGCGCATATTCTTTGGAATTTCTGCGCTGTATATGTTTGCCACGCTTCTTGCATATAGGTGGCTAGCATCATTGCCAGTATATGCGACAACTATGGGAGCTCTCGAGGATAACGTCAAGGCCCGAGTTGTCTCAGACGAAGTTGACGAACAGCAACCTCTCCTGCCTGCGGCGCTGTCAAGTGCAGCTGAAGGCAACCATATTTTCCGTATTCTCCAGAAGAATTTAATTTATAATTTTTCTGTGGGATTTGTTTTCACTGTGACTTTGGTATGTTTTATGGGAATGTCTGCCAGCGTCATATTCCTCACCAGCGTCTGTAGGCTGTTTATCCGGCCATCACTGTCACTATCAAACCGACGAATCCGAATACTCATCCTTTACTGTTTAGTGCTGTACACTTTTTGGTGTTCAGTTCCGGTGACTTTGTGGGACGATACATGTGTTCCTTCCCACAAGTCATAATCTGGTCGGCTCGACGTGTTTTGGCTCTAAGCCTCCTTCGGACCCTGTTTATCCCTGCGTTCCTTCTATGCAACGTGGAACTTTCACTCCATGTTACGCCGTTCATCAGCTCTGACTTGGTCTATATGCTACTCTTGGGTGCTCTGGGCGTGTCGAACGGTTATGTATCCACTTTGTGCATGTTAGGCGCGCCCTCGTTGGAACACAATAGGAGATTGAAGGGTCGGAAGGAAGATGTGGATGTTGCTAGCACCGTCGCAGCTTTCTGTCTGATTGTGGGATTAGCTGTTGGCGGATTTGCGAGCTTTGGAGTGAGGGCTATTATCTGTAATTGCGACCCGTTCACGTCTTAGACTTCAGGTTGTCGCCTATGCGCATACCTGTGATACCATGGAATGATTTAGGACTACAATTGTATTGAACCCATGGACTGACTAAGCTACTCCATGAGGTAAGATAACGCGGACCTGAAGTTTTCCCAGGTTGATGTCACCCCTGGCACGGAGGAAGCCGACGAGAAGTACATGCGTTCCCAACTAACACGACGTTTCTGTGCTTCAAACGCGCCTAGGACGTGTCATGACTTCAGGGTCTCCAATAATCATGTGACACGGAAACCTTCGCATTATGGAATCGATTGGGGTCCCAGGGAACAACATACGTATGGCTCTGTCCAAGTAAACTCGCTTGAAATATAATTTAAATAATAGTACGTAATGTCAATGAGCTACTAGTACTACGGCGACTGAGTTCGATGATATCGTATTAAATTCATACCCTTCCATACCCTACCATACCATGATTGGTCTGGCAGGTTCTGCAAGCAAACAGGAAGCGGAGAGGCATCTCGCTCCGGAGTCATTCATTTCCATAGAACAGCACTCCTCGGGTTATATTCCCCTACATTCACTTCACTCTCACAACACCCGTTCGTCTTGCATCAACCGTACTGAACCCATTAACTAACTTTTTCATGTCAATAGGCCCTAGCATGATGCCACAGGTTTCAACCACCACAAACTCGGGGGCTGTTTATCATGCTCTCCCACCAGCCGCGGGCGATGACGATTGCGACACCGAACTCGAATTGGCATTCGATGATCCTGGAAACTTTGTCGTTGATCAGGTTGTCGATAGTCGAATATGGTGGATCTACTTCATGCTAGGCTGCGCGATCCTCCTCCCTTGGAATGGTGCGTAACAATACTTATCTCTCCGTCTCTGGAAACGCGTTATGGTCCTAAACCATGTTTCTTGTCCAGCAATGATTACCGCCACCTCGTTCTTCTTGTCTCGCTTGGCTGGCTCACCATTGAGAGCAACCTTTACCTCATATTTGACCACCACTTGCAACGTGTTCAATATATTTGCCCTGGCACATGCCACGGCGACTTCGAAACAGGTTGGATCCTGATTTCTTTCTATAAAGTCTATATCACGTTGACCATCATATTGCTAGTCATCACCCTCTCGACGAGTTTTCTGGTCTGTCGTATCAATCACACTCACCATCGTTCTCCTGTTCTTCAGTACCTTTGGACACTACCAACCAACGACCTTCTTTTTCTTTGCAATCCTATGTGCTATATCTTTGGCAATATGCGTCTCATACCTTTCCACGGCTGTCTTCGCTGGAGCTTCCCTCTTCGGGGCTCCTTACATGCAATCTATGATATCCGGCCAGGCTGCCATAGCTGTGGTTGTTAGTGTGGTTCAGGTGATCACATCCACCTTGTCTGTGTGGGGTTCGACACCGGAAACAATTGCCGCGTTCATATCGAACAATGGCACTAAAGACGGGACGGCAGAGCAGGATTCTGCCCGTATGTTTTTTGGAATATCCGCATTATTTATGGTAAGCACCTGCGTGGCCTATGCCTGGATGGCACGGTTGCCAGCCTACGAGGCCACTGTAGGTATTTTGGAACAAAAAGTCAAGCTTGAAGCGGCAGGGGTCGATGACACGGGAGGGCTCGTCTTTCGCGATAGACATCAAGCAAGCCTTGAAGAAAGAGATCAAATAATACGTGTATTCAAGGCGAACATCCTCTATGAACTTGCTCTTGGATATGTCTATGTGATCACTTTGGTGCGATAACTCGATTCATTACCTGGCTGCGAGTTAACTCTTTGCTTTAAGACCATCTTTCCTGTTATTACAATTACCATACAATCGACCAATCCCAATACCCATCCATTGTTATTCACCGCCATTCATTTCTTGATGTTCAACCTCGGCGACTTCTTTGGACGATACATCTGTTCTTTTCCGATATTAATAACGTGGTCCACGACACGCATACTGGCGTTCTCGATCGTCCGTACCTTGTTTATCCCCATCTTCCTTCTGTGCAACACGGTACAGGGCCCTTCTCGTAGCCCACCCATAATTAGCTCCGACTTTATTTATATGCTCCTTGTCGGTGCTCTAGGCCTCTCAAACGGATACCTTTCTACGCTCTGCATGCTGGGTGCATCCTCTCTGGAGCACAACCCACGATTGCGACAACGTCGTGAAGACGTCCCCATTGCGAGCACCGTGGCTGGTTTCTGTCTTGTCGTGGGTCTTGTAATCGGGGGTTTTGGAAGTTTCGGGGTGAGAGCTATTATTTGCCAATGTAATCCTTTCGTAGATTGAGCGCGTATACCCTAAACCCATACATACAACGATATACCAAAATCCTATAGTACGATACTACAGTGGATGAGACGATTCGTATCACGACAGACTGCTACTGGGTGCTCCTGGAAGACGAGGGGCTAGATCCTTTGCCTGTGATGTTTGCCTCCGTCGTCGGTGCTCCGAGACTCTCAGGGCAAATATATCACGATGTAAAATATACTTCTCGTGGGTGGGCTTTGGTGATAGAGAACCCGACGTGGGCAAAGATCCCGGCACCTTTGATGACTTCTCTGACTTGCCGTCATCCTCTTTCTTTTCACCTTCGCCGGCTGTTTTGTCTTTGTCTTTGTCTTTGTCCTTATCCGCCTTCTCCTTCTTGCGTTTCTGCTTCTCCTCCCACTCCTCCCTGAGCTTCGCGATCTCCTCAGCACTAATTCCTATCTTGTTATCGCTCTCCAGATCGAGCACGCGGGTAGCGAACCCATGGTCTGACAGGTGAACCGTGCATGTATACAGAAAATCGGAGGTATCTATCGTGGCGAGCACGGCAGTCGTTGGCTTATAACAGATGTAGCATGCTTTCGCGGTCGCTGTGATCTAGTTCTGATTTGGTACGGATAAAACATCGATGGATTTGCTGGAACATACTCGCTTGTAGTAAAGATTCGGGAACGACATGGTCGCAGCAGCAGCTTAGCACGTAGCGGGGGATGCTGCTGATGTTTGTGAATTCAGCTGTGATCAAAAAAAAAGTCGGTTTGATTCACAGCATTCAGAGATCGATGCGGAAAAGAAGACAAAAAGGATCTTGGCGCCGGAAGATGGTGATAAGAATATGTCTTGTCATGTGCAAGCGATGTGACGACAACTGCCAGTGCAGCACCCCGACTCAAGTGACTGAATTTCTCCGGCCCGGCGGCCAGCGACATAAAGGAACGGAGCCACCACGATCCGCAAAGTCACCTTTCTCACTCAGACGATCATCATCATGAGCACGGTCGGTAAGCCCATCACCTGCAAGGCTGCTGTTTGCTGGGGTGCTGGTGAGCCCCTCAAGATCGAGGAAGTTGAGGTTGCACCCCCGAGGGCTAATGAGGTCCGCATCAAAATCTTGCACACCGGTAAGGAGAGGGGGATCTGCACAGCCATCTTATCCGCTGATAATAGCGATCTTGTAGGTATATGTCATACTGATGAGTACACTCGCAGTGGCAAGGATCCTGAGGTGTGCTTAGAGTTCAGTCGTGCGGTGATCTGAGCTCATCCGAAGCATCGCAGGGTCTCTTCCCCGTGATCCTTGGTCATGAAGGTGGAGGTGTGGTGAGTCAGAACACTTGATACTGTGCCTATTACTTCATCGCTCTTCCGCGTTCTCCAGGTTGAATCGGTTGGTGAGGGCGTCACAAGCGTGTCAGTTGTGAGTCCCAACCATAAGTACACTATAATACCTCTCCTAAACAACCTTTGCCAGGGCGACCACGTTATTCCGCTTTACACTGCTGGTGAGTCGGCCCCTGACGATTCTGAATTCCCTGCTCAGTCTGATTCACCAGAGTGCCGCGAATGTAAATTCTGCAAGAGTGGGAAAACCAACCTGTGTGGAAAAGGTTAGACTCCCGTATCCTGTCGAAACACACGAGTCTCACGATCATCGTGGTCAGTGAGAACAACCCAAGGCCAGGGCCTGATGCCTGATAGCACCAGCCGCTTCACGTGTAAGGGTCAAGCCATCCACCACTTTGTATGTATCCCAATTCCTGTAGCATCTGACGGTATTGATCCGTTCGAACAGATGGGAACTTCAACATTCTCGCAATATACTGTGGTGGCAGAGGTTCTCTGTCGTCGCTGTGAACAAGTCTGCGCCTCTCGAGAAGGTCTGTCTTCTTGGTTGTGGCATCACCACCGCATGGGGCGCAGTTGTGAAGCAGCAAGGCATCAGTATGTGATCATTAAGGTATTCCTGCTGTCACTTATACAGTACGCAGAGGGCTCCAATGTCGCTGTTTTCGGATGTGGTGCCATCGGTCTCGGTGTCATCTCTACTGCGTCGGTCGTCGGTGCTTCTCGGGTGATTGCCGTCGACACGAACCCTGCAAAAGAGTCTTGGGCAAGGAAAATGGGTGCCACTGAATTCGTCAACCCTATGGCGCTCCCGGAGGGCAAGCGTGTCCAGGATTACTTAGTCGAGATTACTGATGGCGGGTTGGACTTTACCTTCGATGCTACTGGCAATGTACACGTCATGCGTGCTGCGCTAGAGTCGTGCCACAAGGGCTGGGGTGTGAGCACCGTCATCGGTGTTGCTGCCGCTGGCCAGGAGATATCGACACGTCCGTAAGTGGTCTGGCGTTTTCTACAGTGTTTTTGTGTGCTGAAGGTTGTAATAAAGGTTCCAACTGGTAATGATCAGTTGAAATAGATGGTCAGCTGTGACTTATGGATGTATTCCAGGTTACTGGTCGCACATGGCGAGGTACTGCATTCGGAGGAGTAAAGGGTCGCACCGAGCTTCCTGGTCTCGTCGAAGGTGACTCGATTTTCAATGCTTTCAATTCATGCCCTGAACAATGTAATTTACCATCCAGACTACTTGCAAGGCAAGCTCAAGATCGATGAATATGTCACCCACCACCGCAAATTTGCGGAAATCAACGACGGTTTCCACGACATGCACGTATGTAACACCCTTCCTTATAAGCTCGACGGAAGTATAACCTTACTTCTAGGGCGGCGACTGTATTCGCTGTGTTGTCAATATGACGGAGTAAAAGGATGAGACCAGGGGTATCCACGAATGGTAGTCTTGCAACCTCGAATAACTGTTGAACACGAAGTGAAAATATCATTAGCAATTACGAAGCTCAAATAGATTTTTGGGCAAAGTAAATAATTCTGGTCATCGAGGTATAAATGCAGCATTAATAACTACTCTTGAGCCACCCATGAATTTCAAAAAAAGCACTACACACCACTGATCATCCGTCTTCCCCTGTTCCTCCCGGACAAAGCCGCCCAAAGTAATATCAGGGCTGCATTGACCTCCCTCCGTCTTGTAGCCGTCTTCTTCCACGTCAGTCTCAGCAACCCGAGAACTGCCAGCGAGAATGATATGTCAAGGAACAGTCTCCGCACGACAGTGAGTACTGGAGACCGGTTCTCGTTCCGACCAAAAAATATAAGAAGCTGTTTCACTGATACTACCACCCGTGACAATGGCTTCAGAACGAACGACCACATTCCCATATCATCCAAATCCCATTCCAGTTCTTCAGGACGATTATCCGTCGGACTGACTCTCCCGGAAGAACCTTTCGGGGGAAGCGAAACTGTGGATCGCTGTGGATGCACCACCTGGGACTCGAGCATATCGAGCCGTTCCGTTATTGCAGCCAGGTGGGTCTGAAGATTTTCGACGGCATGCTCCAGGGGCAACCGTGAGGGTGTTCGTATAGGCGCTTCAGCGCCATAAAACCGGCCCACTCGGAGGGAAAGAGCTGACTGAGTCTGCGGTGCATACTCGGGCGACTGGTATGTCCCAGAATAGTGCCCTGATAGAGGGTATACGGGTGAGGATGCTATTGGTACTGGTTGAACGAAGGCGGATTGCGTCTGGTAGGTGGGCATTGGTTGCATCGGTGGAACATTTGTGAGTCCAGATGGCGGCGACATGGCAAGCGAGCCGGCTGCAGGAGTACGATATCTTGAAGACATGGAAGAAAGTGGTCTTGGCTGTTGAACAGGCTCACGCACGGATGGGAGTTCGTGCGGTTCGTCGCCTGATTCACCATTTTCAGAACCCGAGCCATTGTCCTCTATAACTGCTGACTGTGCAGCATATTGAACTCCTGAACGGGTAGAGGAAAATAATTGACCAGGAATTCGATGAATATCGTTATCTGAGGTACCGGAGCTTGACGACTGTGAAGTCAGAGACCTCTGAAGAGAATCTAGGTGGAATGTATCGATTTAGCACAGGGAAAGTTTGACGCTGGACATACGGCTCTTCACGAGATTTGAGGGGTCACCACCATAAGACTGGAGTTCGTTCATGAGGTCACGGGCAACAGTCTTGTCCGAGTATTTACTTAGAACCTATACTGAAATTATTCTTGGGCATCATGGAATCATCTTAGTTCATACCTTCAGTAGAGCATCCACGTAAAGCCATTTGGCTTCATATAAATCGAGATCTTTATGCTTTGCCCATGCGTCCCTGTAGCACCCGTTAACATGTGATAACGCGACAGTGAGGAACTTGAGCATGGACCGACCACTTTGCCCGGCTTAGCATATCCCACATGCCTGGACGACCGCCCTGAACATTTCCAACAGTCGCTGTGCATAGCAACATGAGTAAGGAGGTGCTCTAAAATATCGTGTGAGCCACCTTGCTTGTACAAGCTGGTAATGAAAGTCAGTAAGCAAAGGTGAGCTTGAAGAAGCAAAGTCATGTAATGAACGTACCTATACATTGTCAGTTTCTCCTCATAACCTGTTTGTATGGGCCCAGTCTTTGGGAGGCCCTGCACTATCTCCACTGCCCGATCGAATTGCGCATCGATAAGTTCACGCGAATCCATCCCAGGAAATGGTGAAACAGAAAGGGATAAGCTTGTAGAAAATGGCGCGTGCAACAAGTTCACAGAATAGAGTACTTAAGGAAGTGATGGGAAAATTATGGTGGTGTCTGTTGTATGCCTGCAGCGTCACGGTGACGCAAACCGGCCTCATACTGAGCGCTTCACAGGCCACATGCTGGTTTTCGGAACTCGCCGAATGCACACCGGCAATAATCACGTCGCGGCAGGCCGACTCGGTAAATAGAACAATATTTTCCTTCTTTCGCAGTCTGACTATGTAGGAATACATAATATTGGGTAACTAGCGTGACCCATTCAACGTTCAAGTCAGCCTCACCTAAGGCGAACGCAAGCTTGTAGAAGTTGTTGGTCGTGAGCAGCGTTTAGCGTCATGCACTCAGTCGCGGCTTGTCAGTAAACAGAGCGAGATCACTTTAGACCCACTTGAAGCCTTCGCAATAGTCTTTCTGCCCCAGAAAGCCCAACCAGCATGTTTCATAGTCAATATGAAGAAAGCCCTTGAACATCATTGCAGAAGGTTAAGAAATCCTTTTATTCGGCACATTTCTCTCAGTAGGATTAGAGGCATAATTGTGGTGGATAATTGGCCCAAGGCTACTTGGGCCAGCGTGAAAGCGGCATTCCAAATAACTTGAAGATTAGATGATTTTACATGAATTATTCCAACAGTCCCCACGGAGGCGCAGCCAACTAAACTTGAACTTGAACGCCCAAATGCGAGTCAGTATGAAGGCAAGCCTGCGCGGTATTTCTGGAAGCTGAATGAGCATAAACTCAACAACGATGGATGCTCTGGCGTACATTTTAATTGGCTAAGATGAACCTGTTGACCATTTGTATTTCAATGAACCACTGATTTTCTCCTCCCGCTCACTAATTTGTTTGCCTGCATACACAGGTAAATCTGTGTCCGCTTCTCTTGGTAGATACGAGCTCACCTCTCCAGTATAGCTTTCCCCAAGCCTTTCCGTGGTTCCCCTCGAGCTTGAGCCGCGTCCGTGTTACCTGCCAGTAGCAGTTTCTTATACCTTTCTCCGTCCAACGGATCTGGTGCACGCGCTGGCCAACACCAGCTCCAGGGGCTCGAGAAAGCACCTGGTAGAGGTTGGCAGGAGTTGTTCGTAGAGATGGGGGAAGGGTACTCGGTAATAGGCCCTGAATAGCGCGAGCTGCTCGTTCCATGTTGACGGAAGAGTTTAAGCAAATACTAATGGAAATTATATATTACATCCGGTCTCCCATATATATCTCCCACGCTGTTCTACCTCTTCACCACATGCTACTGCATTCAGTCAGACAAGCAAGGCGCGTATGGTGTCGTTTTCTGAATGTTCCTTTGCAGTACTCGACGTCTAGAGCGACGGTTGAAACCGACAAGTACGGTATACCACTCACGCCCACCTGGTCCGTCCAGGAATTATTATCTTCTTATCCAGCTCCGTCGATATCACCAGCCACATTCAAACGATTACATGAACTGTCTGCATTATTACCACCCGAAGAGGGTACACCAGAATATGTAAAGCTAAAGCACGAACTCGAGGAGTTGATCAGGCTTGTGGAGGCAACGAAGCTGATCGAAGTGGAGGACACGGGCAATGTAGGCATCCCAGACGGGCGGGTAATAGCAGAAGGGTGTGGGGTACCCCTCGACAGAACACCACGCGAGGACGTAGATGTGAGGGGCAGGGATCTACTTTCATATGCGAGCCGTAGCGTGAATGGAATGTATGTCGTCGAGACAGATCGCTCCAGATGATTCACTCTTGGAGAACACACAAGTTCTACAGTCGCGCCCCGGTAATGGTTTTGCACCATTGTATAATCGAGTGAGTACGATCTTGACAGGGCCCACAAAAACGCTGACATGTATAGGAATCACCAGACATCCACGCAGCATTCATCCTCGACATCACAAGCAGAACTAAACCAACGCGTAATTGGCATCGATTCCGTCACAAAAAATAGGCCTCCTCTCGTGGTAATACAAAGGCAGCATATTTGGTGTGATATGTTACAGCGAGCCGTGCCCACCTGTAGAACCGAACCCACCTGCTCCACGTAATGTTTCATCGAGGTCCTGCTGGATGATCAATCACATAGCTAAGAACGTGAGTGAGCAATACGCACGTTCACTTCCATAACCTCAGGCGTATAAATGCGCTCGATGATCAGTTGAGCTATCCGGTCGCCTTCTTCGACTACGCACCCGATTAGCAACACATAACAATCAGGTTTACTCCTTTACGAACCTTGGAAATCTTTGTCTGAGAGATTGAAAAGAAGAACAAAGACGACACCTCTGTAGTCCGCATCGATGACACCAGCACCCGTATCGATCATGAATTTCGATGCTGAAAGGGAATCACTAGTCAAACACTACATAGCACACAAAATACGACCTACCGAGACCGCTGCGAGGTGCAACTCGCCCATAAGTGCCCACAGGAACAGCAATGGAAAGCTGAGTGTCAACCAGTGCCTTACCGTGCGCCGGAATCACTTTTTTCTCTGCGCTGTATTGTATTTCCCGGTCAAATTACTACGCCTGTTTGTCAACTGCGCGTTACCTGTATAAATCATACCCCGCAGCTAAACTCGACCCTCTAGTAGGAATCCTGGCCTTGTCAGAGAGTCTCTTAACTAGTAACTGCAATGAGGGAACAGACGCGTCGCCATCGGCGCTATCGGACACAGACATCCTGCGTTTCTTGAGTTGCGGTGAGTCAATGCCCATAATGTTGCAGTTGTGCTTTATGAAAGAAAAAGCGCGTGACGAGACGCGTCGGAAGTATATTTCTGAGTTTCAAAAGCGTGTCAACTCCGCCCTTATTACCATCTCGTACTTTGATGAACAACTGGCATGGTCCGACATGGATTTGTCGCAACTAGAACTCCCTATCACAACCTACTTTGCACGAAATAAGAAGGACAAGAAAGGGGCAGAGCTAACCAAGAAGAGGAAACTCTCGGTGGCTGCAGACGACTGTAACAGGGCAGCAAAGCGGGAGAGGGGGGCAGCAGTCTCTGCTGATGTGCATAAGGGTGTTCGGACTCTTCGGAGCAGCGCCAAACAGACAAAGAAAACCAAGAAGCAAATAAAGGTTTTTACTTCGAAGTCTCCGGTCTCATCGACCTCTAGTCGGAGAGAGAGCGCATTACCACCCGGACCATCTCACGATGTAGTGGTAATCGACTCATCACCCCAAAGGCCGGTTGCAGGCAGCTCCCACTTGACGAAGGGCACCTCAAACACTGCTTCCAATAGAATAAATACACCAAGTCTCACCGGGATCAAGGGACCTTCGCGTCTCACTGGTGTCCCAGAACAGTCTCTAGCCACTCCTCCCCCAACAAACCAGACGAAGAAGCGGACGCTGGGAATAAGCACTGCGGTGATCCAGCCTCACTCTCCCAGGACTACCCCCACTATAGTTCCTGCCATTGTGTCCTTGCCTACTCCGGTTACCAATGTACGCAAACCCAGCAATGTGCATGTAATGTCCGGTCTGCGCACATTCGTTGATCCAACATCGCTATGCAGAGCCAAGAATGCTTCCGACCCTCTTATACCACCGAGCCCCTCTGCGCCGCTCATTAAGAAGCTTACTGTCCCAATAGACACTGACAGAGACACCCAGCCAAGGAAACTCACGGGCGGCTCCAATGGGAGAAAGCAAGTAATAGATCCTGACGACCCTTTTATCTGTGCATCCCCAGACAACGAAGTGGTCCATGCAACCCCTGCGTCTTCTCCAGATTTACCATTTAAGGATCTGCATTCTGCTCCTGCTGTAGTTGAAGAACTCGTCCCATCATCACAAAGTCAGTACTTGCTTGCACTGGATGCAACACCTAGCCACAGACGGATAGCAAAACCAATACACTACGAGCCTGTCCCAAGCTCACAGTCGCAGGAGGAGGGAGTGTTGAGCATGACATCTTTGTCCGATGGCTTGCTGCACAAGTGGTCGCTAGCGAGGTCAGCAAAACATGCTCAGGTCACATCCGTTACTTACTAGTAACTTTCAGAATTGAAGCCAATCTCCCAACACCGCGTCCCATTGCGCACGTTGCTCATAATAGTCGCAGCGAGCGCAAACCACTGCACCAATTTACCCTTGGGTCAAGTCCTGCTACATCCCCCGTTACTTCTCCGTCGAAAGAATTCTCTCGTGCGTTTATTGCGACCAAGTCTCCAAGAAATGGAGTCTCGTTCGTTGCATTTCCGTCTCGCAGCCCTTTGAAAGGCACTCCACGCCGCATTTTAGACAAGATCTCGCCTCTCAAGAAGCCCATGAATGGTCCAGGACCTATGGAGAATGTTTGCCCTGTTGAGGACGATTCTGTCACAGAGCCGGAGTCAGAACCAGAAGCACTCAAACCTGCTCGAGATGATGACTCCGAAACCGAGCCCGAATCAGAAGCAGAAGTACTCAAACCTGCTCAAGATGACGACTCTGAAACCGAACCCGAATCAGAACCGATTGTCAGGTCCCCAATAGAGATCGCGAACCGTAAACAGGAAGACGTGGCCCAGCAGCCTCAAGCAACTAGAACTTCCATATCACATTCAAACCCATCTACCAAATTTTCTCCCTACAGGAAGCGGTATACACCCGATTTGTCATTCACTTCCTCACTGGACGATTTAATGCAGCAGGGCGCTGGAATGAGTGTCCCAGTGACACGCAGGCCTTTTTTATTACCTTCAAGGACTCCACCGCCGGCGGTGAGAGATTTCCTCAATATGTTTCAGGGCGATGGAAGCTACCCTGACGATTTCCCGGAGTCCCTGCGTTGTTAAAAGTTTAATCGCGTATTGGTTAGCAGGGCAAACAAGCAATCGTTGGATTAATATGTACATGGACATTGGTTGAATCACTTAAGCATTGGCGTTATTTATTGTCCGGTATACAAGTTCAGTAGTCTACTAAGTCCATCAGGTCAAGCTAAGCGTCAGACGCGATCGTAACAACAGAAGACCTTTCCATCATGACAACTGAAGCTTCGTCCTTGGCTTTTGGTGCAGTGGATATGCTGGGTTGAAGAGTGACCTCTGAATCGGTGATGAGAGGCAAACCCGAGCGTTCCCGTTGGATTGCGTTCGCACTCCTCTCAGCCAGCTCGCGTGCAGGACCTTCATCGTCCATGACCTTGTCGCCGAATACCTCACCAAGGTCTTCCAGAGTATGGTGGGCAGTTTCAGGATAGACGAACCAGACGATGATGAGAGATATGATACAGAAGCCGACGAGGACGAAGTAGTAGCCTGCATTGATAGCCTTGAAAAGCGGGGGAGTGATGAAGGCGACAATGAAGTTGAAAAACCAGTTGGTGCCCGTGCTGAGCGACATGCCCTTGGCGCGAGCACGGAGAGGGAAGATTTCGGCACCGAGGAGCCAGGGGCCGGGGCCCCAGGTGGCACCGAAGAAGAATAAGTATAGACAAACACCTGGAGGGGATGAGCTTTAGCGCATGTTTTGCTTGCAAGTGAAATGACGTCATACCAAAGAAGATAGCGTCAGCAGCAGAGACTCTGGCAGCTCCCAGAGGAAGACTGTCCGCGTAGTATTGGAGACCACCCACAATAGAAAGGGATACGGCCAGCGCGACACTTCCAAAAAGCAAGAACGCCCGGCGTCCAAATTTGTCGATCAAAAACATCGCAGGAATGGTTCCAGAACAGTAGATCAGAGCACAAGCACCGGAGTAGAGCAGGGAGCGGGAAATTGTGAAGCCAGCACGAGTGAGGTTGGATGGTAAGAAGTACAAGATGGCATTGATCCCATTGAGCTGAGCGAACATCTGGCAAGTGATACCGACGATGCATCGACGAGTGTATTGCGTAAAGAGTTGATGCCAGGAAGCCTGACCCATGTGTGCCTCGAACTCAACAGCGGCGATAATCTCAGCGTAGGTGGCCAGAATTTTTGGGTCTGAGACGTTTCCAGCGCCGTGCAAGTCTGCAAGGGTTATCAAAGCCTCCTTCTGGAAGCCATTCTGGGCCAGCCAACGGGGTGTCTCTGGAAGGTAAAACGTCCAGAAGACGAGAACAAGTGCAATAGCAGCCTGTACGATGTATGGGCCACGCCATGAGATCTCGGAAGGCATGGCGAAGAAGAAGCCATATCCGACCCAAGCGGAAACAGCATAACCGATATTGAGGCAGATATATTCGATACTGACAAACAGACCGCGGGCATGAGCAGGGGCTATTTCGCACTGCAAAATCGGGACAGTCATGGAGAGTATACCAACACCTAGACCCTGGATACATCGGCCAGCGATAAGGGCTCCGAGGTTTGGGGCAAAGATCTGGATGAGAGCGGCAATGAAATACATGATACCTCCGATACGGACAGCCATACGCCTGCCAAGAAGATCACAGAGGTAGGCAGAAATGACTGAAGCCAACAGCGCTGTTAGGTTTAAACAAGAAACGGTTATAGCTAGCAACAGGGATGTTTTAGTGACTGGAGAAAAAGAAAACTTGAGTCAAACCTTGTAGGAAAGGATCCACGCCGGTCTGGCCGGCTTGTATCTGCGCCATAGTAACTTCCTTGCCAAACATTCGATGAATAAAGGAAGGCTGAACCTGAGCCGATGCGATACTTCCTTGGCCATAGCCAAACATAGCGTCGCCGAGAGATGCAAGGGCGGACGACATATAGAGTAAAGGCCTCCCGACCATCCATTGCGGATAACGAGCAGTATAGGTCTTGGGACGAAGGAACATAGTAAGTATCGTTGTCGATATGAAGTAAGAGCGAATAATTGTAGTGGAAAGGCAACCTGCACCTGTTAGATAGTAAGTGAATGAAAGACTAGCTAGCTAGCTGGGGTTGAGGGGGTTTTTATATGAGCCAGGCTCATTGGAAACATGATGACGCACTGGGCTCAGATGTCTCAGACTGGTCACTGACATCCGATCCAAGTGCAAAGGCGAATGTTTTGAAAGCCAAATGAGCCTATGCCGACGCCAAAGAGCACTGGAGGAATATGCGGCATCAGTGAACCTCTGTGAACAAATGAGAAAGTTATTTAAAGCAATGTATTGTAGAGCATCACAACAATCTTCGTATATCTGCTGACTGCGCTTACATGAGAATATTTAGCATTGTCGAGCAAAGACGATTTTACAATCACGCCATCCTGGTTAGGCTTCACGGTGGCCAGCCTGGCGTATACTACCACGGATAAACGAGTGGTGTAGCCAGGCTGGTCGATCTCGGAGTGGCGTGGCAGGGCGGAGCGAGGAGTTTGAAATTTGATAGGTGCCGGTCGTGCCGAAGGTAGTTCCGATCATGATATAAGGTAGACTTTGCGCAAAACCAGCAAACCTCACGTGATAAAGCGTGATAAAGCGTGACAAAACCATTGATCCTGTATACGAAGGGAAACAGGACTAGTTTAAGAAAATCAGAGATGGATACATTGTAGAGGATAGCTCTAACTACAAATCATCCATTCCCGATTGTTTGTTAATGCCGTGTTGAGAGAGAAGATGTGTATTCTTTAGTCTACAGAGGTAATCAGAGTTCCACTAAGTCCAAATTTGAATGACCTGCCGCCATGCATGCCGTTAGCGATGTCCGGAGTGTCACTTCCACCCTCTTCACTACCAGGATGCCCAAGCGCTCATCAAAGGTGCGCTCGGCCCTTGAAAACCTTGGGCAGTATGCAAAGAAGAGGAAGGTTTCAGCACAAGCAGACAAGGACAAGGAGAATATTGGA